CCGACCTCTGTGAAAGTTGCTTAACTTCAACGATCGCAATCCATACCGTGACCGGTCATTGCGACAGCCGCTCAACTTCCATTGTGAAAATGAACTTATCATAGTCATCATCATCAGCTGATGGAAGTCCACTGCTGGACATAGGTCTGCTCAAGGGATTACCATCAAACTAATATTATAAAGGCGAAAGTTTGTGAGTGTGTGAATATGTGAGTGTGTATGTTTGTTACTTCTTCACGTCTAAACGGCTGAAGCGATTTTAATAAAATTTGGTATGGAGTAAGCTGACACCCTAGAATAACACATAGGCTACTTTTATCCCGAAAAAAATTTAGGTTCCAGAGGGATTTTCAAGAAACTAGGTTAACGCAGACAAAGTCGCGGGCGACCTCTAGTAATAAATAAAATAAAAAATAAAATCGAATAAAAATAAAATAAAAATCTTTTATTTCATGACATGACATATCTATGTTAGTAACATTTTTTCTTAATCTTGGTCATTGTAAAAAATAATTGTCTTGCGCTTTCCGCATCCTGTGGGTCTCGTCGACTCGCTTGATGTCGTGAGTCCACCTGGTGAGGGTACACCAACACTGCGCTTCCCAGTCGCCATTGAATGACCTTGCGATCACAACGTCCTTAAAATGACCGTAAAAATTGTGGCGATTTACCCAGTAAATTTCATCGTCATTCCCACTGAGAGTTTTCCCGTAAACTGCAAGAAATTAACAAAAATATTGATGTATTATAGTTTTAATCTCAAAAGTCTGCCTCAGAAAAAAATCACGCCAGCTTTCACCTCTCAATCTCAACATCTACCTACAAAAGATCGATCTATGATCTTCACAAAAACTATACAGTTTTAGCCCACTTCCGTACTTCCCACTGAGTGGGAAGAAGACTAAAAACCGTGGGATTCCGCCGGGTAAATGACGGGTAATTGGATTATTATTGGTCTGTGGCGTAACACCTGTTTGCATTTACAATACAATCATGAGAACACAGCGATAGTGACGTTCGCGTTCGGAACTGAGTAGTTATCGACATCTTTAATAAATAAAACTCAAAGGTGACTGACTGACATAATGATCTATCAACGCACAGCCCAAACCACTGGACGGATCGAGCTGAAATTTGGCATGCAGGTAGATGTTATGACGTAGGCATCCGCTAAGATAGGATTTTGATCAATTCTACCCCCAAGGGGATAAAATAGGGAATGAAAGTTTATACGAAACTTTGTCAATTTTAAACCGATCGTGCTGAGACTTTGTATGCAGTTATAAGAAGAATCATTGATGAATGTCATTATATATAATACAAGCCTGAGAACAAAAACTGTAGTCTACACTTCAGCTCTACACCGAAGCGAAACCAGGGCGGGCCGCTAGTATCGAAATAAAAGCTTGTAATACTTTTCATGATCGTAATGCATGATCATAGTATTTCTTGTAATTTGTGATTTAATGGGTATTAGTCATTTTTCATAACAGTAATATCAGTAGTATCTAATGTCGCTTCCTATATACTAAAAATAGAAAGTTAACTATAAAACTAATTATACCTATTCTGTGCGGAAATCATAATCATAATCAAAATCATTTATTCAGGTTAGGCTGTTACAAGCACTCATGAATGTCTAGAAGCTACGCCATCGGTTCGTAAATCTACGGCGGGAGACTTTGTACTGAGAAGAACCGGCAAGAAACTCAATCAATCAATACTTTATTGCTAACTCAGCAAGGGCTGCTTTTTTCTCTCTGTTTTATTATTTACAGAGTCGTCAAATTGAAAAATGACTTCAAATATGATTCATGAAGTCACCTTTCATTACATAATTATTAAATATACATTAATTTTTTACCTGCATTTTGATTGCTGTGTCATACAATATGAATACAAATAGTGTTATTTGTATTAAGTGTGACTAAACATTAACTTCAATATTAAGGAAGTTAGGGCAGACTCATCTCCGCTGGCAGCACTCGTTCACGAGCATGACGCATGAACCAGCCATCGCTTCGCTCAACCATATTTTAGGGAATGTAACGACCCGCCTCACACGACACCGCCGAAGAGACTATTAATAGAGCATGACTACCCATACTAACTACAACATATTTACTTAAATTAAGGTCATTTACCTGTAGGACACCACAAACAATTACAAAAACAAAGCCATGGAGAAATCACGACCACGCTGTTTTGTCAATCAAATATTCTTAAACAGTCTGATAATCTTCCTTAAGTTATCAACTGAATAAAAGGGAATGGGATATAGATTGGAGGGCGCTGTAGTGCTTTTCTACCGTATTTGTAAGGTTTTACCCCTTTTAGACATGATTAAATACAAAAAAACGCAAGAAATCACAACAATAAACAAATCCGTATCAATACAAAACTTTGACGTTTTACAGATTGCTGGGTTTGATTGCCAAATAAAAATCTTAATGTTAGTTCCGTTTTTCGCCACGCCCATTCTCTTTCCGCACAGACTCTATAACAATATATTTATATCCTCTCGCCTGCTTTCATCCCGACTTTCGGCATCTGTTAATAATCCGTCAACGGCTTTGATGACGTAAAGGAAAAAACGTAAAATCGTCTACGTTTTTTAAAGAAAAGTTTTACTAGAAAAAATATTGTTTCTGATATTATTTATATATTGCGAAGGGTGCGGGTTCGAGACCCGTCCGCTGCCTGGTCCGTATGGTTTTTTTTTCTATTAAAACTTTTCTTTAAACATAGTACTGTTATTTAAAAGAATATACTGCTGTCAAATTGACTTTTAGTATAGCCCCACTTATAATTCTGGAGTTCCGCGTATCGATACTTCTGTCGATGAACTTTCGCCGCAGCACTAGCGGTAATCTAGTTTGTGGCTTTCATGTCGATATGTAGGGGAGGCGGTTAGTGAGAGTGGAAGCGGCATATAGATAGATAGATATATAACTGGACCATACTCTATTACACGGTCAAAGTCAAAGTCACTATTACACTTAGATTTTCAAGGTTCTGTACACTTAAAAGAAAAAAAATATTATTGCACAGACCATACATCTGAAGTTCTTTTCTTAAATAACCTAATATTAGGCGGTGTATAAGGCATAGGGGATTGGAGCAGGAGCATTAACATATATATTTATATATATTGTCGCGTGTGACGCTTGTGAAACGGAGAAAGAATACAACTCACCGCCCCCTCTATTCCCGTGGGTGTCGTAAAAGGCGACTAAGGCTGAGCGCAGATTAGAGTCACGACAGTCTCAATACAGACTATTGCTTAACAAAAATTATGAAGATGCGCACATTCGAAACGAGACGTCTCATAGACAAAAAAGTCTTATGTACACAAGAACTGCAAAGCGACAAGTCTGACTAACGACTGGCCGCTTCCCTTTGAAATGTATGCGAGGGCGCACACCAATGACAAAATTGTCTAGCGATTAGGGATGAAAATCGATACTGAAAGAAAGTATAATACATACGATAAAATAAGTAATATGTGGGTCCATAAATTTTGACAAATTATCAAAGATAGATTGATACATTCATTCGAAATTACTGGTAAAACTTTCTGGGCTGGTGCCTTAATTTCTATAAAATAAATAATCGGTGAAATCTATTCTGATACTGATGAAAATGGTGTGTGTCGCATCGTAGACAAAACAGTTTCGTCTTGGTGTGCGCCTTGTGGTAGACACAACTGTTTCTTTTTAATTGTAAAGCTGTCTCGTCTATGTAAGACAAGATTGTCTAACAACTGTCGTGACTCCAATCTGCGCTCAGCCTAAGGGATATCGGCACAAGCAGTTCGCGTCTCAAGCGTCACACGACGTGTGTGGGATGCGTGCGTATCTCTTCCCTATGAGCATAAAAGTTGGGGGGTAACTTGGCGAAGGCTTTAGCTACGGGCGTCACACGCGACAATCTATGAGTGATGCGTACGATGCTCTATTCTCCTATGGACCAGGCGGTGCATGAGGCATCATCATCATCATCATCAACCTATTAGTGTCCCCACTGCTGGGGCACAGGCCTCCCCTATGGATGGAAAAGGGAGATTGGGCCATGACCCACCACGCGGGCCCAGTGAGGATTGGTGGGTGCTAACGACTGCAGATACAGCCGGGACCAACGGCTTAACGTGCCTTCCGAAGCACGGAGGAGCTCGAGATAGTAATTTTTGGTCACCCATCCAATGACCGACCACTGCGAAAGTTGCTTAACTTCAACGATCGCAGCCGAACGCGCTAACCAGTTGCGCCATCGAACTCCTCATGAGGCATGATATGGTAGAAAGAAAAATAAGAAGTTACACTTCAGATGTGTGCTCCATGCATACATTTTTTGAAGTGAAAACTTCTTTAGCGGCATTGTACACTTTTTTTGTATGGGTAAAAAATGGCAAACTCGCGTCAGGTTAAACACGTGGGCTGATCGCATCATGACACAGTAAAATTGGAAAGGTTGTTGACTTTCAATATATTGGACGAAACATAGTAATATTTTATTTTACCGTATTATAATAAGTCTCTATCTAGGACGTCCACGTGGCAGCTTTATTGCGAAGAAAATGCATTTTTTTTACAATAGATGTCGCTAGGTGCGCTTAAACGTGATTCATGTAAATTGATTTTTCCGAGACATAAACTTTTTAAATGTAATATAAAATGTCATGTTTGTGTACGATAGCGCAATAAATAAATATTGCATTCTACCACATACATGATAGTACTTTTATATTGATAATTAAAGCAATTCGTGCAAAATTATTCCCTAACCATTCCAAAATATCAAAAATGCACAACGTTAATATTCAAGTTTTCACTTCTGCCGGCACTCGCGGAGTGCATCCGGTCGTGTTTTTTCCTTTTAAGCCAGACGAGCGGTCGGGCCACCTGATATAAAGTGGTTACCGGCGCTCCTGGACCCTAGCAATGCTAGTAACCTTTGTCAGTGGAACAAACTGGTTAAAAAGTTTTCCTTCCGTTTTCCAGGTGGTGTTATGGTGCCTACTACACCTGGTGGTAGCTGAGGACCCTTCATCATCGGGCCTCGTTCTTCAAGACTCGAAGCAGGACCTGGTGGCTGAAGCCTCCAACTCTCGTGAGGGTAGGACTGCTTTGATTATTACTAATAGATGTTCTTATCTTTAGGAGTTAGGGGAAATATACTTATATATGTACAGTTTATGTATTCTATCCGTTACCCCAGCATCCCATAACACAAGCCTTATAGTGCTTACTTTGGAGCTAGGCTAATGAGGGCTACCGTTTTCTGTCTCACCAGATGGCGCCACTGTTGAGTGAGGTCCTAAATTGTAACTTTTAAAGTTTATTAATACGCACATGAAATCAAAGGTTACATTTAGATCGTATTTTAACACAAAAGAACCATATCCTAAACATAATAGGCCATGCCACAGTGACGCGCAGTTCCGTTTTATTCGGAAAAAATGGGAACATAATCATTTTTCTAAGCTCAAATTTTTGAAGTTATACTTCTTTAGGCGCGTTATGAAAAAATGATGAGAGTGAAATTTTAAGATGCGCGCGCATCACTGTAACACAAAATTTTAACCCGCCCGCTGTATGTTAGCACCCGCCAATCTGCACTGGGCTTGCGTGGTGGGTTATTTCCCAATCTCCCTATTCCATCCATAGGGAAGACCTGTGCCCCAGCAGTGGGGACATTAATAGGCTGATGCTGATGATGATGTTTGACGCGCTATAACTTTGTCATTTTTTGGTTGATTGCCCAAAAAAAAAATACGTGTCCATTAGTTTTTGATCATCTAACTGACGGACTAAATAGTATTTCGTTTACTGTACCCCGTCATCACCCCTATTAAATGTTAGATTCTACTAATCTTAAGAAAATAGTTCATTAGGACTTTCGAGTCCATTTCATAATCAGCCTATTAATGTCCCCACTGCTGGGGCACAGGCCTTCCCTATAGATGGAATAGGGAGATTGGGCCATGACCCACCACGCGGGTCCAGAGAGGGTTGGTGGATGCTAACGACTGCAGATGCAGCCGGGACCAACGGCTTAACGTGCCTTCCGAAGCACGGAGGAGCTCGAGATAGTAAATTTTTGGTCACCCATCCAATGACCGACCACTGCGATGCTGATGATGATATTTGACTGATGTTTTCAGGTGTTGGAGCGCAGAAGCGTGAAGGTGCGCTCTCTAACTCATACGGGGAACCGCTACCAGCCGACGCGTATGGACCGCCGCCACAGCACCTACTGCACGGTACGACATTATATTTATTTATTTATATCAAATACTTATATCTATTATTACAGGTATATACCGAAGGCAATACCCAGGAGCTCGATGGCGCAAGTGGTAAGCGCGTTCGGCTGGAATCGTTAAAGTTAAGCTTCTTTCGCAGTGGTCGGTCATTGGATGGGTGACCAAAAAATATTAACTATCTAGAGCTCCTCCGTGCTTCGGAAGGCACGTTAAGTCGTTGGTCCCGGCTGCATCTGCAGTCGTTAGCACCCACCAATCCGCACTGGGCCCGCAAATCAAATATATGGTTCTTGTTAAATCACCAAACGGAAGTCATAGGGGCCCCATTATCCTAATATGCCCAGGGCCTCCAATAGGTCAAAGACGGCACTGGGTACAAGCCATATGTAGGTACGCCAGGTTCAAGGTGTCGACTACTCAAAGGTCCCGTTTTCCAATCCTGGTGGAGCAAATGTTTGTGTGGTGAAAGCAAGCATTTCTACCTAAGTCATGTTTGTTAATATATGTTTCTAGATTAATATAGGTTTGCACTTATATATGTATCAGTATATGTATTCTATCCGTTACCCTAGTATCCCTTATACACAAGCCTTACAGTGCTTACTTTGGGGCTAGGCTAATTGGAGTGAGTATGACATAAGGCATGACACAACGGATGGAATGACGAAATTTAATAATAAAGAGAAGATTGATGATTCGACTTGGTGTCGAGACGAATCATCCCCATCGTTGTCGTTGCGGTACTCGCGTCGGTGAGTTGGGTCACCATGGTCTCTCATGCCAAATGAGTGCATCAATGACGTCATCCGCAGAGCTTTTGTCGCTGTCAACGTGCCAGGGGTCCTTGAGCTTAGCGGTATCTTTCGTGACGATGGCAAGAGACCTGATGGAATGACGCTCATTCCGTGGAAGCAGGGTCGCCCTCTTGTGTGGGACGCAACTTGCGCGGATACGCTTGCTCCGTGCCACACAGAAAGCACCTCCCTTGGTGCGGGCGCGGCGGCGGCCTCTGCTGAATGCTCTTTCAGCTCTCAATGAGATCTATATATTTGTGCCGTTTGGTGTTGAGACCATATGGGCCCATGGGGTCCAAGCGCTCGTTCCTTATTTAAGGAATTATCAAAGAGACTCACCGAGGTGACAGGTGACCAAAAGGTTGGCAGATATCTTGGTCAACGGATCAGTCTTGCCATTCAACGTGGCAATGCTGCTAGCCTATTGGGCGCCATTTCTGACGGCGGCGCGGGGGGTGACTTATTTATAATTTTGCATATTAGATATTATTTTTAAGTAGGTTAAGGCAATTTGTATTTAAATAGTTTTTAAGTTGTTGTTATTGTATTTCGATATATTGTAATTCTGTAAATAAAAATGGGTGCGTGTACTTATGTAGGCGCGTGAGAAGTTATCCTTCTTTGGCATCGTTTAAAATTAGTTTTTAATTGCATGCAAATAATTAATTACAATAAATTAATAAAAAGTCTGGAAAAGGACACAGTCAATAAAGTTCAGTTTTAATTTGAAAAAATAAATAAATAATCAAAATATTCAATTAAAATCGCTACTGAATATAATTTATTAGAACATATGTGATTTGCACTTGTATGAAACTAAAACACGTATTCCGAATATACAAACTAGAAACATGTGGATAAATATTATAAGTATGAATACCTATAACTGTTACTTTATTACAAAAAATAAAGATGTGGTTTTTGGTTCTACTACACCAATGGTCAAGAGATGGCGCTGTAGTCTCCTGAATCGCGCTTTGGTTCCGTTGTTCCAGATTAATAAATACTTTTGATAGGCCTTCACAATGCAGTCGTTAGCACCCATTAAATAGAGATTCTATTTCTATTTTGTTGGTAGATTTTCTTAATGTGCGGTAAACACAAAAGTAACGCATGAAGTTGGTCGCTAAAGTGACCAATTTACATTACAATGATAATTTTAAGAGTACCTACGTCTACTGGTCTACTATCAGAGAGAGAGAGACAGAGAAACATTTTATTGACCACATTAATGTAATGAAAACAACATACAAAAAAATAACGTTTTGAAAATATAGATAATGAAAAGAGTAAAAAAAAACGACGCGTTGCACTCCGGGAGTGCCGGCAGAAATGAAAAGTTGAATATTAACGTTGTGCATTTTTGATATTTTGGAATGGTTAGGGAATAATTTTGTACGAATTTCTTTAATTATCAGTATAAAAGTACTATCATTTATGTGGTAGAATACAATATTTATTTATTGCGCTATCGTACACAAACATGACAATTTATATTACGTTAAAAAAGTTTATCTCTCAGAAAAATCAACTTACATGAATCACGTTTAAGTGCACTTAGCGACATCTATTGTAAGAAAATCAACTCACATGAATCACATTCTAAAAAAATGCATTTTCTTCGCAATAAAGCTGCCACGTGGACGTCCTAGATAGAGACTTATTATTATAGGTTATATACGGTAAAATAAAATATTACTGCGTTTCGTCCAATATATTGAAAGTCAACACAACCTTTCCAATTTTATTGTGTGTCATGATGCGGTTAAACACGCGGGGTGTTTAACCTGACGCGAGTTTAACATTTTTTACTCATCCAAAAAAAGTGTACAACGCCGCTAAAGAAGTTTTCACTTAAAAAAACAGATTATTATATTTTGATTTATGATCAATCAGGACTCTGACTCAGCATAATGCTGCCGCAACATGCCACAAATCGTGTTACAGCAGCGCTGGTATTCTGACAGGGCCTGTAATGCCGGCACTTCACACGGCCAATCGTATCAGTTTCTTTGACTTTGGTTGCCAGACTTTTTTTATACATAACCAGGTAGGCAAATGACTCTACCCCACCTGATGCTAAGTGGTGATAAGATAAAGTCCAAAAGCTTGTCCAGACATATCGTATTTCCTCTTGTATATCTTAACAGCTCCATTTCTTTACACTTGTAGCAAATTAGCTAAATCTCAATTCAACTAAAAGTAAAAATGTCAAAACTTCAATGACAATGGTGTTGATTCTGACACGATTCTCTAAACTCATGACACATGTCAAGAGTCACCCAAACTGCATCCAAGTAATTTTGAGCTTTAAGTATTTATATATGTAGCTTCATATACGATTCACGTTGAAAAAAAAATTACTGATTAGTATACGTCTCGTTTAATACATATATGAGATTAACCTTCTGTACACTGTATATTTTTTTTTATGTTATAGGGGGCATACGAGCAGATGGCTCACCTGATGGTAAGTGATCACCGTCGCCCATGGACACTTGCAACACCAGGAGTATCACAAATGCGATGCCGGCCTTTAAGGCGTACTCCTTACGCTCTTTTTTTGAAGGTTTTTGGGTCGTATCGGTCCGGAAACACTGCTGGCGACAACATTTATATTTTGTGGTCTTACTAATAGGCATGGACTGAACGCATTACTAGTTAATGCTATAGGCCAAAATATATACTCATTGGTGCCAATTCTCACGTGATTCTCTAAACTTAAAACTAAACATCAGTCCCTTCTATTCATTCTGTATAGAGAATGACAAGGATACACTGTTGTCAAATTTAAGTTTAGCTTTAGAGAATCGTGTCAGAATCGACACCATTGTAACATTATTGTATGAGCTATATCTACTTTAAGTTCAAATGAGATTTAGCAAAATTGCTGTAAGTGGACTCAAAAGTGAATACGAAAAAGCCGTTATCTTAGTTAAGAACTTTTCACTTTTCTACAAAGTCAACAAAAAGTTACTTGAAGCCATGCCATGTATCTAAAGTCTTCTATGTCTGTCTTTTCCAGAACTGAACCAGCCAGCCCCAGTGTACGGGGTTCCAGAGTTCCAGAACAACATCTTCCCTCAGGAGCCACCGCCCGGTGCTTATGGACCCCCCACGCCTGTAGTGTTCCCTACTCACTCTTACGAAGGACCCCCTCCGCCAATCGGCAAACCGAAACCCGTCTACGGGCTCCCGAAACAGTATGGACCCCCAAAACCAACATACGGTCCTCCGAAACCGATCTACGGACCTCCTAAAAAATCCTACGGACCACCAAAGCAGAGCTTACCCAAACCAATATACGGCGTTCCATTCAAACCACCGAAAGTTTCTGTACCAAAACCCATATATGGACCCCCGAAACCTGTCTATGGAACCCCGAAACCTGTCTATGGACCCCCGAAACCTGTCTATGGACCCCCTAAAGCTACATACGGGCCTCCTTTACCAAGCATACCGAATCTACCTCCAATCCCCGAATTACCACCAATAAATCTTCCACAAAGTAGTAGTGTCAGCGCTAACTTCGATATAGACACGAACGTAGATTTAGGCTTCAGTCTACCAGCTCCCATTTACGGAACCCCAATTCCTAATTTACCGATAAACCTGAAGCCTAACTTCCCCATCCCTTCGGACACTTACGGACCCCCTGGTCATTCCTTAGGTCCTATAGGACCAAACGATCAACTGGTGGTTCATAATGCCGACTCTGGACATTACGGACCACCTCAACCGGACCCGAACCCGAGACCTCCTCACCCAGGCATTCCTGCCCCTCCTACTCCACCACACGTTCTATACGATGGTTGGAAACCAATCCCTGGAATTTCTAAACCGTTACTAGACCACGGCCATCACAATAGTCATCATCATCATCATCATCACAATTTGCAGCAAATCGAAGAACATTACGGTCCTCCCCCTCCACCTCCAGTACAAGAAGTCCATCTTAATTTAGATGGCCATTCATTACCACATGGAGAAAACGCCGTCTCATTCTCTGGAGCACAAATAAACACTGGATATTCAAACGTCCATCAAGACGCTTTAGCCAATATTGACCTGAACGCCATAGTTGGAGGTGACTCGAATCACATAGATCAATCGAAGACTGTATTCGAAGCGCATTACACAGAAAATGCTGGACAACACAGCCATAACACAATTTTCACTGGACCAGAGAAAATAAAGGATACTTATGGAGCGCCGCCTTTGGAATCTCTATCAGGAGGACATTATCCAAATTCTATTAGACAACAGGGGGCCAAAGGACTAATCCCCCCTTCAGGAATATACGGAGTGCCTCCAGGTAGTCAATATGGAGCTCCTCCTAAACACCCTAACGGTAGACTACCAGGAATAAACCCAAGAAGACCTATAAGATTCAGAGAACCAGTTCCAGAGGGTTTATTACAACACGTCGGACATTCTACTCATCATAAAGACGTTCACGGAATTAACCATAGTCCTCAACCTCAACCTTACTTGCCTCCACCGATACGTGACGTGAAAGACGTGAACCAACACACAGGCAACGCTGGAGTGTCCATATCTATTGAACCTTCAGATCTATACAGTTTACCTCACGCAGGAAACCCGATAAGTTTCCATCCTCTAGAGCAGAAACCTAATAATTTGTATGGATCTCCCATAGATTCTTATTCAGTGCCGTTGTTGACTGTAGGTGATCATTCCGTATCTTCGTCTAATACGAATGCTGTAACGGCTACATTGGACGGATCTATTTTTGCGAATTTAAGTAATTTAGAAGCTGCGGCGATATTAAAACACTGCCCTTACCATGAAGCTATAATCAAAGCAGCCAGAGCTGGCGAGAAAATCCCCTCAGACTTAGCTTCGAACTACGTTGCCAGTTTAAGTTCTTTGGGCTCGACGCTATCGAAGAGTCAACAGACTTCAATATCGCCTCAGAACGGCTTCAATGTCCCAGTAGCGGGAAGCGAATCCGTGTCCTACAGTAGCAAAGATTTATCCACCGCTTCTCATACTTTGGTAGAAACAATTTTACCAACCAACGATATCAAGAAGGAGAAGACCGAAAAGAACAGCATCCAAAAAGGGAAATCTATCAAAGACGACTCAGGAAAACACAGCTTCAAACAGGACGACCGTTTACAATACGTTTCGCAGCAAATACAACAGACCTCCGAAAAGATTCGTAATCTTAGCGAGGAAACTAAACAGCTGCATCAAAAGATAGTTTCCAGCACTCAGAATTTTAATCAGTTCGGTCAAACGACCGGTTTCGCTGGCAACATTCCAGTTAGTAACGGCGCTGCGAGTTATTCAATTCAAATACAATCATCAGATGAGGGAAAAGGCAAACCAGCGAATCCTTCCATACCGCACGAACAATTGCTATCAGAGGGCTTACTACAGAGCATTCTACAAGCCATAGAGCAACCTAACCAACCACCTCCATCGAAAATCCAAAACCAAAACGTTAATTTCGAACAATCCAGCTCTTTGGACTTCAAGAATTACGATTTAGGTGGCCTAGTCCTACCTGCTGGGTACGAACCAATAGACAGAACTAAAGATAACAAAATAAACGACCAGCAAAGTCAGAGCTCTAATCAAATACGTCATATACATTCGGAAAACCAAAGTCACAGAGGTGACATACCCCATACTGATTGCGATTCAAAAGCTGATAATTCTATAACTCACACAATAGTTGTACCTCCACCAAACAATAATAATAATATTGAAAACGTGCAACATGTTAATGATGTAGACAATAACGATGTCGCCATATACTTTGGCGATAATTCTGATGATAAAGATAAAAATGAACCAGTCACAGAAATCTCTGTAGCTACCAGCATAAGCGAAAACGTAAATGAGTATAGCAACGAACGAGTGTTTGGCGCGAAATTAGCCAAATCGTAAGTCTGCCATGATTTGGGGTTTTCTAGTCTCATAAAACCAGTGAGCTGTAATTATTATTATTGAAGGTTGAATTTTACTTCTAAATGAATGCATCAAACATTGCTTTTAGAGTATTTTTCACACAACCTCTAACAATAGGTATTGTTAGAGGTTGTGTATACCGCTTACATTTGTAATAAAAATATCTGTTTTATTTTTCATTCCCTATTCATGTAATAGAGATTCGTGTAAGTAAAATTCAACCTTAAAGCGCCTACTTTCTATAACTTTAAGCATTGGTGCTAATTCTGGCGTGATTCTCTAAACTTAAAACTAAATTTAACATCAGTCTCTCCTTTTCATTCTGTATAGAAAATGACAAGGATATACTGCTGTCAAATTTAAGTTTAGGTTTAGAGAATCATGCTAGAATCGACACCAGTATCTGCCTTTATCTAAAACGTAGAATAAAGTTAAACTTGCTTCAAAGGTAATACTGTCTCTGTCTTCTTTGTAGCAAGCAAGAAAGGTGACAGCATCATTCTTAGAATTAACTTTAATCAACGTTTTCTAATAAGAAGGTCATTAACCTTTAGTTAAAGATAATACGTAAATCTCGCGGCATGCTTATTAAGTTTTGAAAATCAGTTGGTAGGTTAATGGCAATGATAGCGAAAGCTCACTGGCGCCATTTCGGTCACAAACGCCATTTTGATTCGAAAATAGGTTACGTTGCGCTGATATTCACCTCCTTTGTCGAATAATTAAAAACAGCGCCATCTGTCGACGATTTGAGATACATCCACAGTTAGACGTCTATTTTTTAATTTTACTAGTAGATCGTTTTCACTATTGGATGCATTTCAAATTATAAGTAATTATTTGGTATGTTTTTTTTTTAATTTAATTTAATTATATTTATATGGTAGGTAAAGTTAACATTGATGTACGTAAGTTTAATTCAGTATTTGGGTTGTTCGCTAAATTATTTATTTATTGGAATGGAGATTCGAATGGATCTATGACGTATGTATAATTTTTGTACAATATTTTTATGAATGTTTTAAGTTGTGACTAATAAAAATGTACATAAATTTAAGTTGGTTGTTTTATTTTGTTTATTTTCGTTATATATTTTGGCCTATAGAATTAACTAGTAATGCGTTCAGTCCATGCCTATCCACAAAATATAGAGTACAGAAGGTAATCTCATATATGTACTACGCTCGGCGATCGCACCAGGACTGTCAACTTTGACTTGTGCACGAAAAATTATTGTTTTCACGCATACCACTCATTAAATAAAACATGTTTCAACAGAATTCGTCGCGTCGTCGTTCGTTGCGTCGTCAGAATTCAGACGACGCAGCCTGAAAAGGATGCGAAACGACATAAATAAATAAATCAGTGCATCTATACTGTTGAAACTTTTTTTATACATATCTACTTGCTTAATTTATTATCGAGAATGTGTTCCATTCACAAAAATAAGCTTATTATAACTAAACTATTTTAATGATATTGTTTTAAACAAACGACAATTTACCCCTTAATGTTGAATTTGCTTGTAGTGGTGCCAACTGGTCCGAGATATCAGGTCCGTGAGCAGTGTCACCGGTGTCTATAGTGTCGATTCTAGCAGGATTCTCCCAACTTAAAACTAAAGGACATCGATGAAATTGGCCCCAGCATGCACAAACGAATATCCTTCGCTATTATTTTTGTAAATTATTAGCATTTAATCATAATAAACGGACATTAAGTGGTAAAAAATTAAAAGTTCTGTAACTACTACACAATTTGCTGTCATGTCATCCTAATCGAGCAAATAGATTCTGTATTAGGCCACGGTCCCTAAAATTGTCCAGAATCGACACCTATGTGTGGGTTGCCCAAGCGCACTTTGTAGATTACCTTCTGTACTATGTACTTTGTGTAAGGACGGCCACGTGTCAAGAGTTACATAAAATGTATCCAAGTAATTTTGAGCTTTAAGTATTTATCTATGTAGCTTCATATACGATTCACATTGTAATTTGTTACTTTGCGGTAACTTGCTGTGATAAATTCTGCTATTTATCTGCATCGATATAAAATTATAAATAAATAAAACTAGTTTTTACGGGTTAATGCACGAAAACTTTATTTATTTATGACGTTTCGTAGTCTTTACTATTATATATATTTATTGTATTATAAATAACTTTTTATACACATTATCTTAATTCAACGTCGAAAGAAAGATTTTGGTGTCGATTATGGCAGCGTTCTCTAAACCTAAATTTGACACCAGTGCATCCTTGTCATTCTTCATACAGAATGAAATGGAGAGACTGATGTCAAATTTAGTTTTAAGTTTAGAGAATCATGCAAGAATAGACACCATTGCTTGGTTAAGTTATAGATCGTGAATGATTGAATGTTTGTGTGTTTATAAAATCTGTCGATGTATATTTGTTTTATCAATTTGCTATTTGTATCGGCAGATGCACTTAATTAAATACCATTCATTCATTTCATGCATTTTTTGTCACATCACTATGAATTTCTACCCATTATTTTTGTCATTCATTCGTCATTTCGCGCCTCTTCTTTTAATTGAATTTTATACTACAATACTAACTTATAAGAAATTAAAATACTTTTAAGTGATACTAAACAACATTTTTCAGCAAGATTGAAGTGTCAGATCAATTTTTGCGTGAGAAAACCACATAATAGGGTATTTGACAAGTTTTAGAAAACGATCGTTATTGAACAATGTTTATGGAGTCCGTAAAAATTGGATATTCATCATTCTGTTGTGTATTTCAGTAAAAATAACCAAATCAAAACTCCATTTACAAGTTGCTGCGAAAGCGTTTCTCTGGACAATATGGCGTCTTACTAGTGTGTGACGTCACACGACTGTTATTAAAACGTCAAACGATACAATGTAATGTCACTTTAACCGGAAGCTTACTTGCGTGTGACTTCATTTTAGGCTCCGCCAATCCCAAGGGTTTTGGGTCACGTGACAATATATAAGAAAACTATTATCTTTTTCGTGGGTTTTTAGTAAAATTATGAATAAATATTCATAATTTTAATTTCAAAAACCTTGATTGTTATGTAAAAATAGTAAAAACCCCTGCCAGTATTCATTCTAAACACAGATGCTAACAATTGACACTTTATTTTTAATACTGTCAAATACCCTATTTTCTATTTTTGTTGAAGCTCCGACTCGCGATACCGAACGATCCAAAATGGTAGCGGTCGCGCGTGAACTAGTTTTATATAACGCATATGGGTGCGGCCAGAGTGCACTCAGATTCAGATTCAGATTCAGATTTCGAAAACAAGCGCGAGAAATAAACAGTGTAGTCGAAGGGTACGGCCAGATTGCACTCCTGATTCAGATTCAGATTCAGACTCAGAAAACAAAGCGCGAGAAAAAGCAGGCAACCTGCTTAGACTACACTGTTTATTTCTCGCGCTTGTTTTCAGAATCTGAATCTGACTCTGAATCTGAGTGCACTCTGGCCGCACCCTATGATCCGAGTGGCCACGTACTTTGCCGGAGGGGTTCACCCACCATCTCCATTGATATAATATGCTCTAATTACAAAACCGTTGCGTTTTCGCTTAATGCTTCATGATCATGCATGGTCGCACAACCTTAAAACCGCGCACGGCCTTATAATTCAATTTTGACGTTTGTTCTTGACTGACATTGACATCCAAACGTGAAAATAAACTAATTAGTTTCGTTCGTTCGAGTGGACAACCATTAATTTTTGCTCTAAAACAATAAAAAAAGCTATGTAGCCTACCATGAATTCGTTTATTTCCTGTTTAATTGATTACGTGGGAAGAATTTGAGTATCACAACAATGAATTCGAGTACAATATGCGAAGGCTGCCTCAGCACTAACCGTAAACTAAGTTCAATCAGCGGTAATGATCGACAGGTTTTCACGAGTATTCTTGATAATTCAGTGAGTGTTTTATAGAATTTCGTCTAAAATTAACGCCTTACCACCTATTTAAATAAATCGCTACATGGTTTCAGTGACCAAATGTTGTTTAGTGACTAAAAAACAATATTTGTTTGTGTATTTACGATAATAATTATGAATACTTGCTAGTGATTTCAATAATGCTTTGCAGCTGAACTATTTATTGGTTAGACGAATAAGATCAATATTACATTAATGTAGCCATACTCTACAACCAGGAGCGTTTTTTAATATCTGCCGCCTTAAGCAACTTTAGAATTACAAATAAAATTAAAATATAAGTCTGTAACGAATGCCTTTATATGGCTTCTGATTTGCCTCGCAGCCTGCCACCCTGGGCCCTGGCTCTTTTAGTAAAGGTTGAATCCACCCCCATTTTTTTACTGGGAAAATGCATTACACATACCGGCCTTAGAAATCATACTAGCTCAGCGGCCTCTCGTGATGAGGGGGGTGCCCTACCCACTAAAAACCCAACAGTACTTCCTCACTTGCCAGAATGCGTCTTGTGGGATCCTGGTGACTCTCTACACACCCCTATCTTTAACAATGTGGCCCCATTTCCATTGAAAACATTAATTTTACATAACAAACCCTTACCTCCAAACTTCAAATTGATTTAACATTTATTTCAAAAGCTGTTATTTTTCAGGACTATGTCAGTAACCCGTTGGCACTCTGCTGGGAGTGCACTGCTATCATCAAGAAGATCATCAAATATAAGCGACAAGTACAAAATGCACACAGACATCTCATCTCATCAATGGTAAGTTTACATTTTGTAATACAAGTTTTAATTGGTGTCGATTCAAACCCAAAATTAAAGACAACATTGTCCTTGCCATTATTTATACAGAATGAAAAAGAGTATAAAGTCAGTTTTAAGTTTAGAGAATCATGGTAGAATCAACACCAATAAATAATCAATAGCTATTTTTTGAGGCAAAATACTGTATGACAAAAAAATGCATGGTCGTCCATCTAAGTGATAAACTCATTTCTTATCTCATTGAAATGTGTCATTAAAAGAATTGAATGGAACAGGAGAATTACCACTCAGATCTGCTCAATTCACTTTTTGACTACCTCCATTGGCCGAGCGATTTGCATGCCGGGTTTCATGGTGTTGTCGACTTGAGAGGTCCCAGGTTCAAATCCCAGTGGGGGCAGATATTTGTGTGATGAATACAAGCATTTGTACTTCAGTCATGGATGTTTAATATGTATTTCTATATAAATATACTTATCTACGTACATTATATGTATTCTATCGGATACCCTAGTATCCCATAACACAAGCTTTACAGTGCTTACTCTGGGGCTAGGCTAATTGGTGTGAATGTTGGAAATATTTATTTTATTTATTTATGCAATTACTTTTGTTTCAGCTTCGTCAAACTAAACTTTTACCCTCTCTCTCCAACTTAACTTATCACACAAACACACCAGAATCTCACATAATATTATCGTCTGACAATTCCGATCATTTAAAGAAGTCACAGTTGTTAAGTAATAGTACCAACAAAGATAATGCTGTATGCAATGTCAGACACAACGAGCAGTCTAACATCAACCCGTCATCTAACTTCTGTGTCGTACCTAAAGAAAAGTCCGAGAATAAGTTTGAAAAGGGGATGCAAGATGCGACCACAAGTGTGTCAGAAAGGGAGCCAGTATTCGTCAAAGTGGAGCTCGAAGAGGCTATTAATTTCGAACAAGAATTGGAAACGACAGATGGTTTAGATGATTCCTATGAGAATCGGGATGTCACTTTAGGGAAGGAGGTAAATCTATTATTAGCTTATTGTTAGTATTAGCTCGAACACAAAAATCAAAAACTTTATTATAATTTTATTTTGAACTTTATAATCTGCTAAATATTCTGCAGGTTTTTTTATGTTAAAATGGTGGCGAACAATCGTACGACCCATCTGATAGTAAGTGGCCACCATTGCCTATAGATGCTTACAATTCCAGAACTATCAATCGCGCTGTTGCCTACCCTGACCCCATCCCTACCCCATGGAGCCCTTTTTTTTCTTTTTTTTTTTATTTATTGTTGGGAAAATGCGTTGCGCATACCCCGCCCCGGGTGAGTGGCTGGGTTATGTGGGACTCCTCCTCCCCCCAAATGGGGGGCTCTACCCACTAGAAACCCAACAGTGCTCCCTCGTCTGCCGAAACGGGTTTTGTGGGATCCGGATGACGCTCCACGTTACCCCGGCAGTGATTCCTCCTCCTCTTGGTGGTCAGGGGGATGCCCGGGAGCACGTAGGCATCCCCCCTCGACGGGTGAGACTGTGCAATGTGAGCAACGGAGCCTGCAGTCCCACTAGGGTGGAAATAGGCGGTCGTACCGCCGCCGCCTTACCCCCACCCCGTGTAGCCCTGGAACCTTACTCCTGTAAGGTGGAGGTTCCTTCCCCAGACGGGCTCTCCGATTCGAGTGGAAAATTCAATATGCTCTTCTATATGAAACAAAACAGAGAAAAAATTTGAGTTTCTTCCCGGTTATTCTCAGTACAAGGTCTCCCGCCGTAGATTAACGTAGCGTTTGACTTTCACGAGAGCTTGTAACAGCCTAGAGTCGATAAATGAGTTTGAATTGAATTTAAACGAGCCGAAATCAGTGTCGCCGTTTATCGAAAATCTAGTCATATATAACGAAATCATAGAAAATAACACAAAGAAAGCATCGGTAAAACAGAAAAAATATTCGCATCGCAAGCGAAATGACAATTGCAATTGCCAATGTCATAATGACAGACCACTCATTTACACAGACATTTAGGTCATTATAAGTTGCCATGTGCATAAGTTTTATGACTATTTAAAAAATCGAATAGGTATTGATTTTTTATTATATTAATAATATAATATTTTGTCTGACATTTGGAGATCAAAAACTTCAATTTATATGTGAATATTTTCTTACATTTTATGAACGTTAAAAACATTAGTAATTTGAGCAATTGAAACAGTACTTCAATAAAACATTCAACTCATGATTAGTTGAATTGATTGTTTCGATTACAATAGCAAACTATTTTCCTTTATCAGCTAAACACTACGTTCCTTTATACGATAAAGGTTTTATACAATTTTTTGAGTTTCACCACTAAGCAGCACTAGCGGCCCGCCCTCGCTTCGCTTCGGTGTAGAGCTACTTCAGTTTTTGTTCTCAGGCTTGTATTATACACAATGACATTCATCTATGATTCTTCTTATACCTGCATGCAAAGTCTCAGCCCGATCGGTTTAAAATTGACAAAGTTTCATACAAACTTTCATTCCCTATTTTATCCCCTTGGGGATAGAATTGATCAAAATCCTTTCTTAGCGGATGCCTACGTCATAACATCTACTTGCATGCCAAATTTCAGCCCGATCCGTCCAGTGGTTTGGGCTGTGCGTTGATAGATCACTATGTCAGTCAGTCACTTTTGTGGTTTATATATATATATAGATTACTTACTTTCTAATGCTTAACATAATTTCCAAAAATTATGTTTGTACTCGATCAGTACCAAAATGGTTGTTCTCCTTTCTCCTTTGTTTGACAAACACGTAAATTTGTCAAGCAAATTTGAACAACTACAGGCCTATTAACTTCCGAAATAAACCTTTCCATTTGAATACATCATGTACGTATTATTACTCTTTTCAGATCGTTTTAAAGTCAGATCCAATGGAATACGGTGAAGACTTGAGCAGCGGAATGAAGTGTGACACAGAGTTCAACGATTCAGATGAGGAACCATTGAAAAAGAAGAAAAAAGAAGCCAAACCTAGAAGCGGAAAGACAAAGAAGGAAACAGGTGAGCTCCATTCAATTCTTCTACAAATTATTCTGTAAATATGATGAACATTAATTTAAAACATATCTATTGAATTTCGTCAAGCGATTGTTAACGGACACTAAATTGTCCCATCTAACGAAAACTTACTTCATTTTTGATAAGTGAAACGGACGAGGGCTCTTCCACTTTATAATAGTGATGGTTTTTAAATCAATTTAATGAAATTATAAATTGTTGACTATAAATTAAATTAAATTTCGTCAATTATTTCAAATGTACAATAATGTTAACGTGATTTCGTGTGTGTGCTGATTGATTGAACGATCAAAGCATCTTTTTTGTCTCTTCATTAACGTCAGAAAATTAATTATGACATTTTAAAGAGTTTATTTTACGAAAAACAATCATGAAACGGTCTAATTTCAGTGGCAATGAGTGATACAAACCTATCAGATGTGAGTGCGAGTGAATTGTTACAAAATGACAATTTGTGTATCGTCGATCGTCACCAATACACCATAGAGCTACAAAAGTACTACAGCAGACACAAAGAAAAAAGTAAAAAAACGGAATGGTCCAATGAGAAAATCAGAAACATCATAAAATTGATTCAAGAGTACAATGTGATTAGAGAATTGGGGAGGAGGCCGACCAACAGGCATTATCATCACGCGAAAAAGTACGATGTCATTGAAATCGGCAATAAAAAAGTGCTTACAGTGAGAAAAAAATGTTTTAATGGCCCCGTGATTCAAATTGTACCAAGCAGTAATTACTATAGACTTATATTGGAGACACACGTCGCTACCAACCATGGAAGACGCGATAAAATAGTGCGATGCTTTAAAAACAAATTTTTGGTGCCGGTCTTCGCTATAACGATTTTCCTTCGAATGTGCAAAACTTGTATACGAATCAACAAAGGTTTGCCGAGGAAAGGGGCTTTTGTGGAACCTCTGCGTTATGATTTTAATAATGTTGCAAATCAAAAACTGCGAGCCGACGCAAATGAACGAGACAGCGGCCAAGCAAATGTATCAAATAATTCTAGTAATACATTACACGATTCTTCAATAAGCATTTCAGAAATGTCAGATATAAACACAGATAACAATGAAGAAACAGGTTTAGAAAAAATCGTTTGTAACAATGTTAATACGGAACGGAATGCTTCATATTTCTCTATACATTTGGAGGAACAAAATATTAGCACTTGCCACATTTGCAATGAAAAAGTATCCGAAGCAGATATTTGTGAAAAATGCAAAACGATTGACCAAGAACAAGACACAAGTGGAGATTTAAACGAAGATTTGCTAGGTAATATTATTAATGTTATTGAAACGTTAAATTTTTTAATAAGTAATTTAACTGTGAATATAAATTCGCCGTTTTGAATTATAGCAAACTAAAATATCGATCTGTTTTCAGTGCCGATGCGTGAAACGAACCAAATTGACGACAACAAAAACAATGACATTTACGTTGACAGAAACCAATTCGCCATAGACTTACAAAAGTACTACAGGGGGCACAAGGAAAAGAGCAAAAAACCCGAATGGACTTACGACAAAATCCAAAACGTTATTAAACTAATACAGGAGTTTTACGCAGTCAAAGCTTTAGGGAAGAAACCTTCGCGCACTCAATATCATCACGCGAGAAAATATGACGTAATCTCTGTAGCCAATAAAAAAGTTTTAATAATCAAAAGAAAATCTTTAACAGATCCCGTGGTACAAATAGTACCAAGCAATGAATACTACAAAATGATTCTGGACACACATTTAGCGACCCGCCACGGGAGACGAGACAAAATAGTGAAAACTTTCAAGAATAAATATGTAGTGCCCAAATTTGCCATTATGATATTCCTGCAGTTGTGCAAAACTTGTTTGAACAAAAAGCCCATTCAGGGACCGCAGACTGTGTTTGTAGAACCATTGAGATGCGACTATAATGAGATGACAAAACTTAATTCTGATAACGAGCAAAATATCATATCTATCGCTGGCACCGATAACATTGTAGAGCAAAATATAACTATTCTTTAATAGAGTATTTGACAAGTTTGAGAAAACGATCTCGAGTTATTAACTTGCTTGAACAAAAAACCCATTCAGGGTCCACAGACTGTGTTCGTGGAACCATTGAGATGGCTAAGCTTAATTCTGGTAACGAACAAAATATCATATCTATCGCTGGCACCGATGACATTGTAGAGCAAAATATAACTATTCTTTAATAGAGTATTTGACAAGTTTGAGAAAACGATCTCACGTTATTTTCTAATATTTATGGAGTCCATAAAAAGTGGATATTTTAAATTCTGTTGTGTAATTCAGTAAAAAAAAATTGCATTGAAAATTCAATTTTCAAGTTGCCGCGAAAACGTTTCTCTGGACATTATGGCGGCTCACTAGTGTGTGACGTCACGTGACAGTCGTTAAAACGTCAAAAGATACAATGTAATGTCACTTTTGAAGTTTGCTAGCGTGTGACGTCATTTTAATGTCGGCCAATCCCAGGCGTTTTCGTGACCGTGGAGCAAAAAATTATTTCTATTTAATGATTTTATAGAAAAGTTGTTAATTATTTATTCTTTCAGATTAGTATAATCGCTGCTAATGCCAACGATTGGTACATTATTTTTCATACTGCCAAATAGCCTAATCAGGACAACAGTCTTTAACTTCTTGTCAACTATTAATGTCCCCACTGCTGGGGCACAGCCATGGATGGAATAGGGAGATTGGGCCATGACCCACCACGCTGGTACTATTGGTGGGTGCTAACGACTGCAGATACAGCCGGGACCAACGGCTTAACTTGCCTTCTGAAGCACGGAGAAGAGATAATAGGTTTTTGGTCACCCATCCAATGACCGACCACTGCGAAAGTTGCTTAAACTCCACACTCCCAATGATTCAAGGATGCGTAAGGCATTTTTCGGACATTTAAAAAAACACTGCCCAATCTCCAAAATCGTTATCCATTTTTAACATATTATAGCACACTAGCAAACCAGTGAACCAAATGTTCACCAAAAACAAAAATGTATTTAATTAATTGAGAACTTCGGAGATTTTGTGTAGTTTCGTTTGAAATTCGTGATTTCTCGAAAACCGGAAGTGCTACGTTACTCAAATCCGGTTTGTAGTCTTATCAGACTATTCTTAACTTATAACTTAAACATTCTCTTTATCTATCTCTTACGGTTTGGCCGCTGAAACAGCACCACAGACAGACGGACGGACTTGTCTAATAGATAAGAGATACTATATTAATATTGCTTTGGTTTAAACTAAAGCTGTTGTTAACGTAATAAAACAAAATCTGCTCTGTGATAGTTACAAGCAAAAAATAAATAAATGCATTCCTATACCAGCAATGAAATGAGAATAAATGTGAATTTTTAGTTTATAATTCCATTCATGGGAAATGCATGTGCCCCAGCAGTGGGGACATAATAAGTTGATGGTGATGAGACCTAAGGTATCATGCATTGTCAACAAATAGGGTATTTGACAAGTTTTAGAAAACGATCTCACGTTATTGACTAATGTTTATAGAATCCGTAAAAAGTGGATATTCATCATTCTGTTGTGTATTTCAATAAAAATAACCAAACAAAAAACTCCATTTTCAAGTTGCCGCGAAAACGTTTCTCTGGACAATATGGCGTCTTACTAGTGTGTGACGTCACACGACTGTTATTAAAACGTCAAACGATACAATGTAATGTCACTTTAACCGGAAGTTTACTTGCGTGTGACGTCATTATAAGCTCCGCCAATCCCAAGCGTTTTGGGTCACGTGACTATAGATATGAAAACTATTGTCTTTTTCGTGGGTTTTTAGTAAAATTACGAATATTTTTTTTTTGTAAAAATAGTAAAATCCCCTGCCAATATTCATTCTAAACACAGATGCTAACAATTGGCACTTTATTTTTAATACTGTCAAATACCCTATTGCTGAATAGGTTGTCCTTTGATAACATATTATAGCACATACTATATTAATATTGCTTTGGTTTATACAAAAGCTGTTGTTAACGTAACAAAACATAATATGCTCTGTGATAGTTACAAGCAAAAAATAAATAAATGCATTCCTATTCCAGCAATGAAATGAGAATAAATGTGAATTTTTAGATTTTTATTACTATTTCTCTGTAATGGTGTGAAAATTAGAAATAAACCTTTATTATTATTATTATTATTTTATTTGTAATTTATGTTTGTAATAAGTTGAAACTTGATTATTTTAAAATATTATAATAATATATACTTTAAAGTAATTTTATTTGATGTTATTTACTGTTATAGTGTTTATGATTCAAAATAAATTAGATAAATAAATACTTAATTAGATTACTTTTTTATTTCTTTTTTATTGAATTTTTCCATTATTCTAGCTGTTACGTGTATCCTTTACAGGCTCAGTGGTCCTAAAAATTTATTAAAAAAAATACCAATATTTCCCTAAAAATAATATGTATTATATGGATATCTTGAAAATTAAATTTGAATTCAAATTCGAATTCAGCCAAAGTATATTGTATAAGGTGCCTCGTTTCTTGACCATAGAACTGAAACAAAAGTAATTGCTTAAATAAAATAAATATTTCCAACACTCACACCAATTAACCTAGTCCCAAAGTAAGCAATGTAAAGCTTGTGTTATGGGGTACTAGGGTAACGGATAGAATACATACACTGTACACATATAAGTATATTTATATAGAAATACATATTACACATTCATGACTGGAGTAACGTCTGTCCCCACCGGGATTCGAACCCGGGACCTCTCGAGTCGGTGGCACATTGAAACCCGGCAAACAAGCCACTCTGCCACGGAGGTCGTCATAATGAAGAAAAGCATACTTCTTTAAATGAATAAAAACAATTACTAATTGTAGTTTTAGGTGATCACATTTTAATTTTTTCTTCCCAAGCGGGGGAGCGTTTGCGAAATCTTCATGGACACCTACAGCCAAATGTAGGATTATGTCACATTCTTAAGGTGCTGTCCGACGGCCTAAGATCTCGCGGGCGCGTCCGCGCTGCTCACTGTTGCGAAACGTATGAGATTTAGCAGTGTCTATACACGATACGAGGTCAATAGAAATCTCGTACACTTTGTGATGACATAATGAAGATGTAGTTACTGAGTCGATCCTTTGTGGGCTGAAAATTTATTTACTTTCTGATAATATTTTTAGCTTGTGTACATGACACAAACAGTCAACATTTTTCAAACCTCATATCGAAGTGTACGAGATTTCTGTTTATCTCGTATCATGTATCATCATCATCAGCCTATTAATGTCCCCACTGCTGGGGCACAGGCCTTCCCTATGGATGGAATAGGGAGATTGGGCCATGACCCACCACGCGGGCCCAGTGCGGATTGGTGGGTGCTAACGACTGCAGATGCAGCCGGGACCAACGGCTTAACATGCCTTCCGAAGCACGGAGGAACTCGAGATAGTAAATTTTTGGTCACCCATCCAATGACCGACCACTGCGAAAGTTGCTTAACTTCAATGATCGCAGCCGAACGCGCTAACCACTTGCGCCATCGAGCTCCACCGTATCATGTATATATCGGATCATGTATAGATTGCTAAATCTTAAACGTTAGAGTTCTCATACGTTTGGCAACTCTGCGAGGTTCGTGCCCGCGATTACACAGGCCGTCGGACAGCACCTTTACTGACATACACCCGTGGGGGTATGCCTATCTTTTGAAAACAATATTTTTTTTTATTTACCAACAGAGTTTTTAACTTATGATAAGAGTTTTTATAACTTAGGTAGGTAATACCTATGCTTGGTCGCGGATGGACCATCTAGAACTAAACTCGCTAAGTATATCAATATCAGTATGTATATCACACATTTAAAAAATCTTTATACATGATTTTATTTATTTTTTAAGCATTTAACTACTAGATGTTTAAATCTAAAGAAAAGTTTACTAGAAAAAAATCCACGCGGACCAGGCAGCGGACGGGACTCGAAGACTTTAGATTTAAACATCTAGCAGTTAAATGCTTAAAAAATAAATAAAATCATAACTATAATTGCTATTTCTTCTTTCAAAGGTTTAATACTTGAAAAAGTATTCATTTGACATTGTGGGTTACCTACAATGCGGAGAGATGGCGCTGCCTTGCAGCTTAAGGCTAGGAAAATTTCGACGCGGCTAATAGGGCCGTGGTAGCATAATGGTCAGTGCATTCGCCCGGATAGCGAAGGATGCGGGTTCGAGTCCCGTCCGCTGCCTGGTCCGCGTGGATTTTCTTTCTAGTAAACTTTTCTTTAAATCTTTATATAGTTTATAGGTACTCCGTTATATTCCTACCTCGGTAAAATCAAGACAATGTTGTTATAGTTAAGAAAAACATAGTCATACAACACCAACCGTTTTAAATCGAAAAAAAAAAAAATGGTTGCCTGTAAAGTCGGTTTTACGGGCGAAGATTTTACGTGACAACGTCTTTTTCTCGGTAGAATATTTATTGATATGAATATAATTAAATTGCACAATAGGAACAAGGAATTGAATGAAAATAAGAATTGCACAAATTTTAACTATAGATATATATATATAATACGTCAAAAAAACATATTACAATGCATTGTGCTTGTGAATACCATCGTAGCATGCAACCACGCTACGACGATTCGTAGCAAACTTGCTACACGGCTACGGGGTTCCAGCATGCTACGAGACTCATCGTAACGTTACCGAGCGTTACACTTTTTCATAAGTGACTCCCAGCCGCAACCTAATTTAAGACGTTGTCACGTCAAAAATGGTTTATTTCGGTTTTAAACGGATTGGTTTAATTGGTTTTAAACCGGCCTTACATCTATAGGTATTCCTATGAGGTATATAATATAATTAAATTGTAATTATGCGGATTTATTTTTCTTTTACGGCTCATTTCATGGTGTCGCCGACTCGAGAGGTCCAGGGTTCGAATCCCGGTGGGGGCAGATGTTTGTGTGATGAATACGAGCATTTGTACTCCAGTCATGGGTGTTTAATATGTATTTCTATATAAAAATATACTTATATATGTACGGTATATGTGTTCTATCCGTTACCCCTAGCACCCCATAACACAAGCCTTACAGTGCTTACTTAGGGGCTAGGCTAATTGGTGTGTTGGAAATATTTATTATTATTATTTAAATTTTACTAACTCTGTTTAATGACGGATTATTATACTGTCCCCTTCGTAGCTAAATCTGAGGCCAAATTGCGTCCAATCCGCGCAGAAAAGTCGCTCCTGCGCCTGGGCATACCGCCGGGAACTATGCAGCCAGTACGTCTCACTTGGAAAGAGGTAATTCATCACTGACCTGTTAATAAAAATAATCATTTCTTTCAGATAAACATCTATTTTTTTTTCATTATTATTATTTTAAAGCATGTAACAGCTTGATGTTTAAATCTAAAGAAAATATAACTAGAAAAAATTCCACGCGGACCAGGCAGCAGACGGGACTCGAACCCGCACCCTTCGCAATCCGGACGAATGCACTGACCAATTATGCTACCGCGGCCCTCACGGACCGCGTCGAAATTCTTCTAGCCATTCTTAAGCTGCAAGGCAGCGCCATCTCTTCGCATTATAGGTAACCCACAATGTGAAATGAATACTTTTACAAGTATAAAACATTTAAATAAATAAATATTTCCAACACTCACACCAATTAACCTAGTCCCAAAGTAAGCACTGTAAGGCTTGTGTTATGGGATACTAGGGTAACGGATAGAATACATATATAAGTATATTTATATAGAAATACATATTAAACATCCATGACTGGAGTACAAATGCTCGTATTCATCACACAAAACATCTGCCCCCACCGGGATTCGAACCCGGGACCTCTCGAGTCGGCGACACCATGAAACCCGGCGTACAAACCACTCGACCACGGTGGTCGTCGAATTAGACGCGATCCGTAAGGGCCGCGGTAGCATAATTGGTCAGTGCATTCGTCCGGATTGCGAAGGGTGCGGGTTCGAGTCCCGTCTGATGCCTGGTCCGCGTGGAATTTTTTCTAGTTATATTTTCTTTAAATAATAAATAAATAAATTTCCAACATTCACACCAATAGGGGTGATGACGTAGTACAGTAAACGAAATTCTATTTATTCCGTCAGTTAGATGATCAAAAAATAATGGACACGAATTTTTTCTTTGGGCAATCAAACAAAAAATGACAAAGTTATAGCGCGTCAAAGTTTGGGAGTAGGGGCTGGTGACGTCACTTTCTAGTGAATATTCGCTTAAAAGTGTACTCAAACGTGACGTCATGCGACTTTTCAAACCAATATATCTCTGCAATGTTTATATTATGTGAACAAAAGAAAAAATACGTGTCCAATACTTTTTTATAATCTACCTGATAAACGAAGGAAAAAAAACAGTCATCATCCCTATTAGCCTAGTAGCCTCAAAGTAAGCACTATAAGGCTTATGTTATGGGATTCTAGTGTAACGGATAGAATACATTATATTGTACATGTATAAGTGTATTTATATAGAAAAACATTAAACATTCATGACTGGAACACAAATGCTCGTATTCATCACACAAACATCTGCCCCCACTGGGATTCGAACCCGGGACCTCTCGAGTCGGCGACACCATGAAACCCGGCGTACAAACCACTCGGCCACGGAGGTCGTCCAAAATAATAATTTTTTTACCACAAAAGTGTGGAGGGACGTTCAGTTTTAGATTAAACGCTAAGATTAAAACAAAAAGAGAAGATACGGCACTCGCGGCTCAAAAGTGATCTGCTTAAATTGTGGTACATGACCACAATTCGCTTTAGTCACAATTGGACATTCAAACACGCTGCATGTGCATTTAATATATCAATATTGCGTATATTCTGTGTTATAAAGATAGAACAACGCCTTCGATGCCTTTATAAAATATCATATACATATAAATAATCTACTTTGACATGCATGTAACAATAGACAATTTCAAATTATATTCATAAATTGTGATTCCAATGTAAAAAAAATAACAGTACTTCTTTCATAGGTCCATATCTATTTGTATACCTTAATTAAGGTGGAAATGTAGTGATACTAACAAAAATTTTATATACCATGTATACTAACCTATGTCTCACAAATAAAATTCTGATTCTGATTCTAAAGAACTCAAATAGTTCAAGATCAAATAACAAATGCCACGGCAACACTTTTCATTCGTAAAACTATAAAAATATTGTTTTCTCAAAAAACACGGTTTGACATTAATGTTAGTAACTGATTCGCCATTTTTTATCAAGAAAAGGACAACAATACAGCTCAGCCGTCTGTAGAGAGGGAAGAGAAATCGTAGTCGGCTGCAAAGCGACGCGGATTCGCACTGTTTCGCTCGCGCTGCGTTGAAGCGTACTGTTCTGTCTCGCTCGCTAGATTGAATGTTTATTTACAGAAGCGCGCGTGTGTGATAGTTGCTTAGTGTCGCCGCACACGGGTCCCCGACCACAAAATATATCGATGTATCGATATATCGATATTTTTAGCTGCTATATTTTTATTCGATATATCGATACATCGATACAAAAAACCAATATTGAAATTCGTATCAACACCGATATTCTTTTTAATTATTAGCGGCATATCACGATCTAACTAAATTCGTATCTGGAAAAATCGTCACTGGATCTCAGATTAATGATATTCAACATATCTATGATCTGTGCTGTATTTAGTATTGTCTATGATTTGTAAATCTGTTTCGCTGGTGAATTGGTTGTGCTGAATTCCATTATATTCTGTGGAAACGTGTGACTGTCTAGTCTTGTTTACGAAAGATGGCACCTGAGAGGTCCTGCAATCATTTTCATCATTCGATAATAGGGTCTATTTTTAGGGAGATAATTTTCGTTCCATTATTATTCCGCGTGTCATCTTTCGTGAGATACTGTACTGTCATGTAGTGTAGCGGCAATTTGGTACTTTAATAATTCTTTCTTTAATTATAATTTGTAATGTTATTATTACTGTGCTAGGCTGACCTAAATATATTTTTGGGGATATTGGTCCAATATATCGATGTTTTTTTCGCGATATATCGAAGCCGCTATTGATATTTTTTAAAATTATTACTTATATAGTTGAGTCGGATCATATTTTATTCGATGCTAGTATAGTATGAGCGTACCGTATCTTCCCTTTTTGTTTTAATCTGAGATTAGACGTTATCTGATGATGATGATGCGTGTAGGTGGAAGAGGAGCGTCAGAAGGTGTTGACCAGCGAGTCTTATCTCCGCTACCCGCATCGTTGCGACCACTGCGCTCTCGGCTTCAACCACAGCTCCAAACTGGCCAACCATATGAAGAAACATCAGCCTGTATGTTTTTATTTATTTTTAAGGATTTAACTGCTAGATGTTTTAAATCTAAAGAAAAGTTTACTAGAAAAAAATCGACGCGGACCAGGCAGCGGACGGGACTCGAACCCGCATCCTTCGCAATCCGGGCGAATGCACTGATCATTATGATACCACGGCCCTATTCGCCGCGTCGAAATTTTCCTAGCCTTAAGCTGCAAGGCAGCGCCATCTCTTCGCAATGGTCAGTGCATTCGCCCGGATAGCGAAGGATGCGGGTTCGAGTCCCGTCCGCTGCCTGGTCCGCGTGGATTTTTTTCTAGTAAACTTTTCTTTAGATCAGCCTGTATGTTTTGGTACACACACACAGTGACATAAACACCTGTATACGCCACGAGCCTGATTCTGGCGTAACCAAAAAACCGAATTTGATAACATTGTATTTTTATATTTCTTCGTAATGGACATGGACAGACAACACTTTACAACAGTGGTAAAATTTCGGGGACTCGCAAAAAAACATGGTTCATGGTAGTATACCAACGATATTAAATACCATAGATACCAACACGAACAAACTCATGCCCGAAACCTGTCCAAAAGGTACATTGGACGATCCGCGAAGCCCCGTAAGATGATCGCGTAGTCTAAACAATATAAGGCATTATTTAAACATTGAAAATCACCTTTACAGTACATAGTATAAGGTCTTAATTAAAAAGCATGCGTCATAAAGTTATGACAGTCCGAGAGTAAGCTTGTAAAATTTTACGACTTATTGCTATATGCGGAAGAATATAGACCTTATTCCTTTGACCCTACGGGCAATTCTGAATGCGCTGTTAGCAATAGAGCAGGTACGGTACGGACCGCGAGGAAAAGAGACGACTATATCCACCGACCATGCATTTGAATATCACAAATATTTTCTATTAAATCAGTTTATAGTAAGTATTAGGACAAGCTTCGAATGCGTTAAATTAACAAAAATTGATTAGATAACTATCAAAAAACAACACTTTACATTATATTAGTATTTTTTTCGCATTATTTCGCAGAGCTCTGCGGCAACTTCACTTTTCAACGGTCCGCGCGTGACTGTGTACCAAGAAGTGCTTGAGTGTTGTTCAAGCACTTCTTGATTGGGACACGTTTTGAGCGCACGTGGTGTATCTAGGGTATTTAATATAGTTGAATACAACATTAATAGGGATGATGACTAATTTTTTTTTCTTCGTTTATCAGGTAGATTATCAAAAAGTATTACGGACACGTATTTTTTCTTTTTTCACATAATATAAACATTGCAGAGATATATTGATTTGAAAAGTCGCATGACGTCACGTTTTGGTACAATTGTCACTTAAAAGTGACGTCACGAGCCCCTACCTACTCCCAAACTTTGACGCGCTATAACTTTGTCATTTTTTGGTTGATTGCCCAAAGAAAAAATACGTGTCCATTATTTTTTGATCATCTAACTGACGGACTTAATAGAATTTCGTTTACTGTACCCCGTCATCACCCCTATTCTTATCGTATTAAGTACTTCAAATATTTCGTGCATTGAATTTAGATCATTATGGGCTTTTACATCGCGTGGCAGTTTTTAATTAAATATAATAAATAAATCATGTCCGTCGTAATACGTCGGTTTGCAGTCGGCGGGTCAGCTGTGTTGTGCGGTGTGCAAGGTTCGATGCCGGACGCAGCATGCCCTTGCAGCTCACACTAGGAGACATCTCATCAGGTAAATACCTATATAGGTATTAGGTAGGTTTGCGATATCTGCACAGTTTTCAAAATTTTAAGATTAGGTCATAATTCAGTAGGGTATTTGACAGTATTAAAAATAAAGTGCCGATTGTTAGCATCTGTGTTTAGAATGAATATTGGCAGAGATTTTCACTGTTTTTACAGAAAAAATATTCACAATTTTACTAAAAACCCACGAAAAAGATAATAGTTTTTTTTATCTATTGTCACGTGACCCAAAACGCTTGGGATTGTCGGAGTCTAAAATGACGTCACACACAAGTAAACTTCCGGTTAAAGTGACATTACATTGCATCGTTTGACGTTTAAATAACAGTCGTGTGACGTCACACACCAGTGAGACGCCATATTGTCCAGAGAAACGTTTTGGCGGCAACTTGAAAAAGGAGTTTTTGATTTGGTTATTTTTACTGAAATACACAACAGAATGATGAATATCCACTTTTTACGGACTCCATAAACATTAGTCAATAACGTGAGATCGATTTCTAAAAATTGTCAAGTACCCTATTGTGCTTAGTTACTATGTCTAGCGAGAGGCTAGATGGTGTCGTCTCCTATGCGGGTAACTGGGTAGTAAGTAGGTACGTCGCTGTTTCGCTAGATGGCGTTGTGCCGCTGTTATTAGACGACCTCCGTGGCCGAGTGGTTTGTACGCCGGGTTTCATGGTGTCGCCGACTCGAGAGGTCTTGGGTTCGAGTCCCGGTGGGGCAGATGTTTGTGTGATGAACACGAGCTTTTGTACTCCAATAATGGATGTTTAATATGTATTCTTTATATGTACTTAGATATGTACAGTATATGCATTTTATCGGTCTAGTACACGTTGGACCCTCAAGATTCGACCCAAAGGCAAAAAGTGCCCATTGGACCTCTTTTTGGTGTCCATTGGACCTCTCTTTTGGTGGCGGATCACTGCGCGCGCGGCCCCGTCATTAGAGTCTCGCCCCCCCCCCCCCCCCCCTCCCCCCCCCCAGATGGCGTTGCTCCGCGTGCGGGTCGCTCGGGTCGCGCGCCAGCGTGGTGGCGGATCACTGCGCGCGCGGCCCCGTCATTAGAGTCTCGCCCCCCCTTCCCCCCCCCCAGATGGCGTTGCTCCGCGTGCGGGTCGCTCGGGTCGCGCGCCAGCGTGGTGGCGGATCACTGCGCGCGCGGCCCCGTCATTAGAGTCTCGCCCCCCCCTCCCCCCCCCCCCCCAGATGGCGTTGCTCCGCGTGCGGGTCGCTCGGGTCGCGCGCCAGCGTGGTGGCGGATCACTGCGCGCGCGGCCCCCGTCATTAGAGTCGCGCCCCCCCCAACCCCCCCGCCCCCCCCCAGATGGCGTTGCTCCGCGTGCGGGTCGCTCGGGTCGCGCGCCAGCGTGGTGGCGGATCACTGCGCGCGCGGCCCCGTCATTAGAGTCTCGCCCCCCCTTCCCCCCCCCAGATGGCGTTGCTCCGCGTGCGGGTCGCTCGGGTCGCGCGCCAGCGTGGTGGCGGATCACTGCGCGCGCGGCCCCGTCATTAGAGTCTCGCCCCCCCTTCCCCCCCCCCAGATGGCGTTGCTCCGCGTGCGGGTCGCTCGGGTCGCGCGCCAGCGTGGTGGCGGATCACTGCGCGCGCGGCCCCGTCATTAGAGTCTCGCCCCCCCTTCCCCCCCCCCCCAGATGGCGTTGCTCCGCGTGCGGGTCGCTCGGGTCGCGCGCCAGCGTGGTGGCGGATCACTGCGCGCGCGGCCCCGTCATTAGAGTCGCGCCCCCCCCAACCCCCCCGCCCCCCCCCCAGATGGCGTTGCTCCGCGTGCGGGTCGCTCGGGTCGCGCGCCAGCGTGGTGGCGGATCACTGCGCGCGCGGCCCCGTCATTAGAGTCTCGCCCCCCCCTTCCCCCCCCCAGATGGCGTTGCTCCGCGTGCGGGTCGCTCGGGTCGCGCGCCAGCGTGGTGGCGGATCACTGCGCGCGCGGCCCCGTCATTAGAGTCTCGCCCCCCCTTCCCCCCCCCCAGATGGCGTTGCTCCGCGTGCGGGTCGCTCGGGTCGCGCGCCAGCGTGGTGGCGGATCACTGCGCGCGCGGCCCCGTCATTAGAGTCGCGCCCCCCCCAACCCCCCGCCCCCCCCAGATGGCGTTGCTCCGCGTGCGGGTCGCTCGGGTCGCGCGCCAGCGTGGTGGCGGATCACTGCGCGCGCGGCCCCGTCATTAGAGTCTCGCCCCCCCTTCCCCCCCCCAGATGGCGTTGCTCCGCGTGCGGGTCGCTCGGGTCGCGCGCCAGCGTGGTGGCGGATCACTGCGCGCGCGGCCCCGTCATTAGAGTCTCGCCCCCCCTTCCCCCCCCCCAGATGGCGTTGCTCCGCGTGCGGGTCGCTCGGGTCGCGCGCCAGCGTGGTGGCGGATCACTGCGCGCGCGGCCCCGTCATTAGAGTCGCGCCCCCCCCAACCCCCCCGCCCCCCCCCAGATGGCGTTGCTCCGCGTGCGGGTCGCTCGGGTCGCGCGCCAGCGTGGTGGCGGATCACTGCGCGCGCGGCCCCGTCATTAGAGTCGCGCCCCCCCCAACCCCCCCGCCCCCCCCCCCAGATGGCGTTGCTCCGCGTGCGGGTCGCTCGGGTCGCGCGCCAGCGTGGTGGCGGATCACTGCGCGCGCGGCCCCGTCATTAGAGTCGCGCCCCCCCCAACCCCCCCTTCCCCCCCCCAGATGGCGTTGCTCCGCGTGCGGGTCGCTCGGGTCGCGCGCCAGCGTGGTGGCGGATCACTGCGCGCGCGGCCCCGTCATTAGAGTCGCGCCCCCCCCAACCCCCCCCCCCCCCCCCCCAGATGGCGTTGCTCCGCGTGCGGGTCGCTCGGGTCGCGCGCCAGCGTGGTGGCGGATCACTGCGCGCGCGGCCCCGTCATTAGAGTCGCGCCCCCCCCAACCCCCCCGCCCCCCCCCCAGATGGCGTTGCTCCGCGTGCGGGTCGCTCGGGTCGCGCGCCAGCGTGGTGGCGGATCACTGCGCGCGCGGCCCCGTCATTAGAGTCGCGCCCCCCCCAACCCCCCCGCCCCCCCCCCAGATGGCGTTGCTCCGCGTGCGGGTCGCTCGGGTCGCGCGCCAGCGTGGTGGCGGATCACTGCGCGCGCGGCCCCGTCATTAGAGTCGCGCCCCCCCCAACCCCCCCGCCCCCCCCCCAGATGGCGTTGCTCCGCGTGCGGGTCGCTCGGGTCGCGCGCCAGCGTGGTGGCGGATCACTGCGCGCGCGGCCCCGTCATTAGAGTCGCGCCCCCCCCAACCCCCCCGCCCCCCCCCCAGATGGCGTTGCTCCGCGTGCGGGTCGCTCGGGTCGCGCGCCAGCGTGGTGGCGGATCACTGCGCGCGCGGCCCCGTCATTAGAGTCGCGCCCCCCCCAACCCCCCCGCCCCCCCCCCAGATGGCGTTGCTCCGCGTGCGGGTCGCTCGGGTCGCGCGCCAGCGTGGTGGCGGATCACTGCGCGCGCGGCCCCGTCATTAGAGTCGCGCCCCCCCCAACCCCCCCGCCCCCCCCCCAGATGGCGTTGCTCCGCGTGCGGGTCGCTCGGGTCGCGCGCCAGCGTGGTGGCGGATCACTGCGCGCGCGGCCCCGTCATTAGAGTCGCGCCCCCCCCAACCCCCCCCGCCCCCCCCCCCAGATGGCGTTGCTCCGCGTGCGGGTCGCTCGGGTCGCGCGCCAGCGTGGTGGCGGATCACTGCGCGCGCGGCCCCGTCATTAGAGTCTCGCCCCCCCCTTCCCCCCCCCCAGATGGCGTTGCTCCGCGTGCGGGTCGCTCGGGTCGCGCGCCAGCGTGGTGGCGGATCACTGCGCGCGCGGCCCCGTCATTAGAGTCGCGCCCCCCCCAACCCCCCCGCCCCCCCCCCCAGATGGCGTTGCTCCGCGTGCGGGTCGCTCGGGTCGCGCGCCAGCGTGGTGGCGGATCACTGCGCGCGCGGCCCCGTCATTAGAGTCGCGCCCCCCCCAACCCCCCCGCCCCCCCCCCAGATGGCGTTGCTCCGCGTGCGGGTCGCTCGGGTCGCGCGCCAGCGTGGTGGCGGATCACTGCGCGCGCGGCCCCGTCATTAGAGTCGCGCCCCCCCCCAACCCCCCCGCCCCCCCCCCCAGATGGCGTTGCTCCGCGTGCGGGTCGCTCGGGTCGCGCGCCAGCGTGGTGGTGGATCACTGCGCGCGCGGCCCCGTCATTAGAGTCGCGCCCCCCCCACCCCCCCCGCCCCCCCCCCAGATGGCGTTGCTCCGCGTGCGGGTCGCTCGGGTCGCGCGCCAGCGTGGTGGCGGATCACTGCGCGCGCGGCCCCGTCATTAGAGTCGCGCCCCCCCCCAACCCCCCCCCCCCCCCCCCCAGATGGCGTTGCTCCGCGTGCGGGTCGCTCGGGTCGCGCGCCAGCGTGGTGGCGGATCACTGCGCGCGCGGCCCCGTCATTAGAGTCGCGCCCCCCCCAACCCCCCCGCCCCCCCCCCCAGATGGCGTTGCTCCGCGTGCGGGTCGCTCGGGTCGCGCGCCAGCGTGGTGGCGGATCACTGCGCGCGCGGCCCCGTCATTAGAGTCGCGCCCCCCCCAACCCCCCCGCCCCCCCCCCCAGATGGCGTTGCTCCGCGTGCGGGTCGCTCGGGTCGCGCGCCAGCGTGGTGGCGGATCACTGCGCGCGCGGCCCCGTCATTAGAGTCGCGCCCCCCCCCCCCCCCCCCCCCCCCCAGATGGCGTTGCTCCGCGTGCGGGTCGCTCGGGTCGCGCGCCAGCGTGGTGGCGGATCACTGCGCGCGCGGCCCCGTCATTAGAGTCTCGCCCACCCCCCCTCCCCCCCCCCAGATGGCGTTGCTCCGCGTGCGGGTCGCTCGGGTCGCGCGCCAGCGTGGTGGCGGATCACTGCGCGCGCGGCCCCGTCATTAGAGTCGCGCCCCCCCCCCCTCCCCCCCCCCCCAGATGGCGTTGCTCCGCGTGCGGGTCGCTCGGGTCGCGCGCCAGCGTGGTGGCGGATCACTGCGCGCGCGGCCCCGTCATTAGAGTCTCGCCCACCCCCCCCTCCCCCCCCCAGATGGCGTTGCTCCGCGTGCGGGTCGCTCGGGTCGCGCGCCAGCGTGGTGGCGGATCACTGCGCGCGCGGCCCCGTCATTAGAGTCTCGCCCCCCCCCCCCCCCCCCCCCCCAGATGGCGTTGCTCCGCGTGCGGGTCGCTCGGGTCGCGCGCCAGCGTGGTGGCGGATCACTGCGCGCGCGGCCCCGTCATTAGAGTCTCGCCCACCCCCCCTCCCCCCCCCCAGATGGCGTTGCTCCGCGTGCGGGTCGCTCGGGTCGCGCGCCAGCGTGGTGGCGGATCACTGCGCGCGCGGCCCCGTCATTAGAGTCTCGCCCACCCCCCCCCCCCCCCCCCAGATGGCGTTGCTCCGCGTGCGGGTCGCTCGGGTCGCGCGCCAGCGTGGTGGCGGATCACTGCGCGCGCGCCCACCGCTCGCCCGCGCCGCACCACGCCTGCACGCTGTGCGACCATGTGGCCGCGTGAGTATTCCCCCTTGTTTACTTATTGTAGGCTGTGAGTCCCATAAATTAATGTAAAATAAAATAAATTACGCAATATATTAAAACTGGTAAGAATGGTAAACGGTAATGGTATGAACGCACTCGGTTTGAATGATGTTCGAATGTGAACTAATTTAAATAAATTATAATGAAAACTAGCAAACCGGCGAACCAAATGTTCACCAAAACCTGATTTCTAGAAGTGCAATGTGTTTTCCGGAAGTGCTATGTTACTCAAATCCGGTTTGTAGTCTTATCAGACTATTCTTAACTTACAACTTAAATATTCTCTTTATCTATCTCTTACGGTTTGGCCGCTGAAACAGCACCACAGACAGACGGACTTGTCTAATAGATGAGAGATTATTACACAAATTAAACTGGGCCAATAAGTAAACTGCTGACCGCGGGCTATGATGTGAGTTGCATTGTACTTCGTATACTTATCGGTCATCATCATCGTTTTATTTATTTATTTATTTAATAGGTACACAAACGGAGAGCAGTTATTACATGGTTAAATAAAAACCGACCAAGTGCGAGTCGGACTCGCGTACCGAGGGTTCCGTACAAAAATATTCAAAAATATTTTTTATTTTATGATGTAACTAAAAATTTACGGTTTTCGCAATTTTTGCTTTATCTGTACTATAAGACGTTACTTCGTACCAAATTTCAAGATTCTAAGTTCACGGGAAGTACCCTGTAGGTTTTGATTCCCGTGCGAGTTTCGAAAATTTGCGGCATAAATGGCTGTATCTTTTGATTGCTTTGGCTTAGAAGTTTGATTTTTTCATAGCTCCAAGGGACAGTAGACCTGAGTATAAGGTATGAATTTCAGTTTGATACCTCCATGCGTTCCTGAGAAAAACGGTCTTGACAGACGGACGGACGGACAGACGGACAACAAAGTGATCCTATAAGGGTTCCGTTTTTTCCTTTTGAGGTACGGAACCCTAAAAACATAAATCTGGTAGAAATCTGTAAAAACTGCCATCCAAAACAGTGTAGGTACACAGCATAAGTTAAATTATGGCAAAATTATCAAAAGCACAACAAAACCTTACAACTAAATCTTTTAACAAAGTTAATAATTGTTGTTGTTATTGTTATCATTGTCGTTGCTTGTGCATGAGTGCATATGCGTATTACAAAGATTTAAATCGGCATATTGTGTTTTTTTCTGAGATTTGTTTTTTTATGTGACTTGAACTGCATTTGGAGTTTCGAAAATTTTCCCTGCGACTGGTGAGTAATGCTTGCCTAAGACTTCCGAATCTCATATTTTGGACGAGTTCTTGCTGTGGATTTTGGGCAAGATTCTGTCCCATGCTGTGAATTTTATTTCATTGTATCTACTATCTATGATATTGTGATCAAAGAAGATGTGGAATAAAAAATATATAAAAAAAGTGTTTCATATTTAATTAATATCCCATTAGTACACAATTAGAAATCCTTTTTTATGCTTTATTATTGCTGTGGGCATTTTCAAATTGTTAAGTACTTCTTACAGCACAGACATTGTATTCCAACTCGATAACCCTTGTCTGTTAAGTATAATTAAGTATTTTGACGCGGTCGGTCAGTACCTACGCCCGCTGATCATACATTATAGAAATCATTTTTTTTCGTCTCTAATATACGGCACCCGTATACTTCTATAGTTCCGCTCCACGTATTTTTTATTTTGACATAACATGTAAGAGGTAATGCGTAAGCCTTCTTACATTTAATAGAAAATGATAATTGATACTGATAAGTTAGAACTGTGGCGGCGACATCTATATACCCTACATATATACAACGGATGGAGGAAATCATTACTCACCATCCTCAAGAGATGGCGTTACCTGCACTGCGATCTTAATAGTATGGAAGCCTACATCACGCAAATGAAATTCGGAGGCTAACTCTTCATATATACGATGCTTTTTCGAATAAAGGACATTCCTCAACTGACCATCAAGAGTTTAATTTACCGAAACCTACAATCGCTAAAGAACGATTGGGTGATGATAAATAAAACCGTCCCGTTAGAGTGCTAAATTGTCACTGATTTATTTCATATAGGTAATTAAACATTATTGTACAAATTGCACACGCTTACGAAACGCGGCGGCACGACCTTAAAATTATGTACGTATGTGTATATACTCTTGAAAATACTTTTATAATTCGTTCTTGTATTACTTGGTATGACATAACCTCCAAAACTTCAAAGTAGATTATCTATAAATCTAGAATTACAACAATAAAAGAAATAAGACAAATCAAGAATCTAAACTTCATAATTTAACATGCAATTCATTTATAGACGTAAAAAAATTTTCAGCAAAAAATTGTATGGGAGTTCGCTATTGTCCTTTACATATTTCTAGGACCTACAGACATGATAAAGGCTAAAACTGTATACAATAGGTAATAATAATTAACGTCTTATACAATAGAACAAGAATATTTAACATACATTTAAATCTCATTAACTTTACATCAGGACGCTAAGTAAACTCAGAAACCATCTCAAGAGTCACGCGGAGCGACAAAAATGCGAACTTTGCGGCAAAACATTCCGGGACAAGTCCACACTGAAGACACATCTGTTGTAAGTACTTTTAGCTTAGATTAAAACAAAAAGATAAGATACAGTACTCGCGGCTCAAAAGTGATCCGCTTAAATTGTGGTGCATGACCACAATTCGCTTTAGTCACAATTGGACATTCAAACAAGCTGCATGTGCCACTCAATATAACATAACAATATTGCGTATATTCTGTGTTATAAAGATAAAACAATGCGTTCGATGCTTTTATAAAGAACACAAATAGTTTAAAATTGAATAGCAACGGCAACACTTTTTCATTCGTAAAACTGTAAAATATTTTTTTTTCTCAATAGGGTATTTGACAAGTTTTATAAAACGATCACACGTTATTATTGTCTAATGTTTATGGAGTCCGTAAAAAGTGGATATTCGTCATTCTGTTATTTATGTATTTCAGTAAAAATAACCAAATCAAAAACTCCATTTTCAAATTGCCGCGAAAACGTTTCTCTGGACAATATGGCGTCTTACTAGTGTGTGACGTCACACGACTGTTGAAGTCATTTTAGGCTCCGCCAATCCCAAGCGTTTTGGGTCACGTGACAATAGATAAGAAAACTATTATTTTTTTCGTGGGTTTTTAGTAAAATTATGAATATTTTTTGTTAAAAATAGACAAAACCCCTGCTAATATTCATTCTAAACACAGATGCTAACAATTGGCACTTTATTTTTAATACTGTCAAATACCCTATTATCACAGTTTGTCGTGAATGTTATTTACGTAATCGCCATTTTGTTAGCAAGAAAAGGACAAAAGCATACAGCTCGGCCGTGCGGACTCGGAAGCGGACTCGCCGTTTCGCTCGCGCTGCGTTGAAGCGTACAGTTCTGTCTCGCTCGCTCGATTGAATGTTTATATACAGACGTGTGCGTGTGTGAGAGTTGCTTATGTAGTTGAGTCGGAGCATATTTCATTTGATGCTAGTATGAGCGTACCGTATCTTCCCTTTTGGTTTTAATCTAAGACTTTTCATAATTAAACAGTCCATGCCTTAATAGTTATTTATGATACTAACGCGGTAAGTTGTTTATTACAAACGAGTAGACTAATGTAAGCTCGAGAAGAAATTGTTAACACCAATTCCGCTACAACGTTTTTCAACACATTTGCGAGAAAACAGTATAATTTTTAAAGTTATGTTTCATTACTTAAAAATTATACTTAATCTATATATATAAAACTCATAGGTAGGTGACTGACTGACATAGTGATCTATCAACGCGCAGCCCAAACCACTGGACGGATCGGGCTGAAAGGACATTGTTCAGCGTCCATACATAGTTAGCCTAAGAACCAACAATCATGAAATATTATTTTCTAGGTTCGAAATCGTAAGTAAGTAAATGACTGTAAAAACAAAGATTATTGACGGACACTTGTGAGAACTGAAATTATTAGGAAAACTAAAATATTTTTGAGGTTATGTTTAATATTCAATGAAACATAGGTCAACCTATGTTTATGTTTAGTATGAACTCAATATGAAGTGAATTAATTATACAACTAATTCATTTTATTCTGTACGATTTTAAAGAATAACTAATAGGAAAAACTTGGTTAGGTAGGAATCATGAATAAAATAAAAACTGTATTTTGCTTCTTATTTTTTGACTATTTTTCACATAAGTAATTTTATCATATTGTTTTGTATTTACATATTTGTATATCACATGTATATTGTGTAAATATGCAGCGTGAAAGTGTATCAGGTGTTCTTGAATAATTTGGCAGTATGATTCTCTCAGGATGTTGTGGCACAGGTTCACTAGCACTTGGTAATAAGGGCTCTGCTCTTTGTTAACATCGATGGCATATTAGATACCCGAAACAGTTAAATTAAAGCACAAAACAATCGCAAGTAAACACACACAACACGTAAATCAGAAACGAGAATGCACTTTCCGGTATAGTAAACTACTCACCTCTGTGAAGTTAGCCCCCCACTTTTTGAATTTTATTATTATCTAGGTTGTTCTGGGTTGTTCTATGTTTGTTCTACATTGTTCCAAAGTATTATTTGAAAAAACTAAAATTTGAAGCTGCCAGACAAGAAAAACCGTTTTTCTATGGTAGCCCCCCATGTTTGGAAATTCAATATTTTTATAGTTGTTCCAAGTTGTTCTAGTTGTTCCGAACATTGTTCCAAAGTATTATTTGAAAATATTCAAATTTGAAGCTGCCAGACAAAAAAAACGTTTTTATGGTAGCCCCCATGTTTGGAAATTCAATATTTTTTTAGTTGTTCCAAGTTGTTCTAGTTGTTCCGAACATTGTTCCAAAGTATTATTTGAAAATATTCAAATTTGAAGCTGCCAGACAAAAAAAAACGTTTTTATGGTAGCCCCCCATGTTTTGAAATTCAATACTTTTTTAGTTGTTCCAAGTTGTTCTAGTTGTTCCTAACATTGTTCCAAAGTATTATTTGAAAAAACTCAAATTTGAAGCTGTCAGGCAAAAAAAACCGTTTTTGAGATAGCCCCCCATGTTTGGAAATTCGTTATTTTTAAAGTTGTTCCAAGTTGTTCTAGTTGTTCCTAACATTGTTCCAAAGTATTATTTGAAAAAACTCAAATTTGAAGCTGTCAGACAAAAAAAACCGTTTTTCAGATAGCCCGCCAAGTCAAATCGTACTAGAGACAATAAATAAATCAACAATAATTTTAAACAATGACGATTGTATCAGTACAACCGTGGGCTATATCGTTCCAATTTCATTTAATCATTTTGAATAAAATTAATAGTTATAAGACAAGAAAACATTACACTATAGGGTAAACTCCCTAATTGTTGGCACCTTAAGAGTAGGTTCCATGTCAGTCAGACATTAAATTACCATAAAATCACATCTAAATGAGTTAGTACACAACACATGTAACAGTATCAAGGAAATATAGTTCAATCTTTGTTTTCATAATAGTACAGTCAATGAAGGCAAAAATCAGCTATAACCTCCGATTTCGATGAACCTCCATCGATTTTCATGAAAAATGGTGATGAGGTGGGGGATACCATATGAAACAAATGTGACATAGTGCCAACTTGCGCTTTTTCCCTAGGGGTAGATACCACCCCTTCTCGGGGGTAAAAATTATTTTAATAAAAATAACTCCAGGAATCGATAGAAAGACAAACTCTAAGCAAAAGTTGTTATATTAAGTTTTCGAAATAAATCAATACTTTCTGAGTTAATAATGATCAAAGATTGTGATTTTGCGTCAAAAAATTCATGTTTTACGCGGTTTTTCATAAATATTTCAAAAGCTATGAGTTTTAAGAAAAATATATTATTACTAGACGCAACGAATATTCGGTTACTATTCGGTATTCGGCCTATTCGGCTGCTTTTATTATATTCGGCCGAATACCGAATACCTACATATTATTCGGCCGAATACCGAATACTTAAATAATATATTTTATCATAGAGAAATAATTGGTAAAATGAAAATTAATATCGATTGATTACGTAGGTATATATTCATATTTTCATTTCTGTTATATATAATCATTAAAGTAGCCATTGGTACATAATCATCTTCTGAATTGGAAAAATGGAGGATTCTATGTATTTGAATTATTGTGGTAATCAAAATTTAAAAGGGTAAGGTTCTCATTTCTTTTATAATCATTTATTAAGTAGTCATTGGTACATAAAACAGGAACATATTTTAATCATTTTCTGTATTAAACAAGTTAAGAATTTTTCTATGCATTTGAATTATTTTCATAATCAAAATTTAGAAGGGGAAGTTTATGGTGCAGAAAGACTAAATTTTCTGCATTTTTAGGAAGTAGTAGAAATTCTTTTTTTCTCGTACACCATCCCAGCTTCAGAGTAAAGGCGCTCTGAATAAACACTACTTCCTGGCGCCGACAAATATTTTGCTGCAATCTTAATCAAACACGGAAATTCAATTTTCCTTGCTGCCACCATGTATATGGGTTGTCATGACGTGATATATTACTAATATTTAAGAAAAGATCCATTTCTGTTGAAACTGCGTTTGACTGAATTGCACTGCAAACAAAGGGGCGCGAAACAATCACGTTTGTACAAGTTTTTGGCGCTAAAATCCAGCCGAATACTTTTGCCTAATATTCAGCTATTCGGTCAGGGGCCTCGCCGAATATTCGGTATACTGCCGAATATACTATTCGTTGCAAGTCTAATTATTACGAAAATTGAAGCTAATAAAAAAAACAAACACCTTCTTTGAAAAACCTTCTTATATGAATTCAAAGTGAGCTATAGGTAATTGTATGTATATATTTTTTCGACGAGTACTTAAATCTAAGTTTCCAACCCTAAATAACGGGAAACCGATGCATTTTGATGAATGGTTGGAATTATTTTTCGTTTTTCCTAAAAAAAATAAGTGTTATCTTATTTTTATCATAATTTTTTCAATTTTGAAGCTATTAACTTTTTACAGTGCTCATTATAAAGGTATTTCTGAGGAATTTAAAAAGTGCTCCGGAAGTGTATGTCATAAATTCATCGGTTTCCCGTTATTTAGGTTTGAATACTTAGATTAAGTACTTGCCGAAAAAAATATATGTACATACAATTACCTATAGCTCACTTTGAATTGAATTTAGAAGGGTTTTTCAAAGTAGGCGTTTGTTTGTTTTTATATTAGCTTCAATTTTGGTACTAATGTTTTTTTTGTAAAGCTCATAGTTTTTGAGTTATTTATGAAAAACCGCTTAAACATGTATTTTTATCACGCAAAATCACGATATTTAATCTTTAATAACTCAGAAAGTATTGATTTATTCCGAAAACTTAATATAACAAATTTTACTTAGAATTTGTCTTTCTATCGATTCCTGGAGTTATTTTTATTAAAATAATTTTCACCCCCGAGAAGGGGTGGTATCTACCCTCAGGGCAAAAGCGCAAGTTGGCACTATGTCACTTTTGTTTCTTATGGTATCCCTCACCTAATTACCAATTTTCATGAAAATCGATGGCGGTTCAACGAAATCGGAGGTTGCAGCTGATTTTTGCCTTCATTGACTATACCATTATGAAAACAAAGATTAAACTACTTTCTTTGATACTGTTACATGTGTAACATATGTTGTGTACTAACTCACGTGATTAGATGTGATTTTATGGTAATTTAATGTCTGACATGCTACCTACTCTTAAAGTGCCAACAACTAGGGAGTTTACCCTATATTCTAATGTTTTCTTTTCTATTAATTTCATTCAAAATGATTCAATGAAATTGGAACGATATAGCCCACGGTTGTACTGTTGTTGTACAATCGTCATTGTTTAAATTGATTTTTGATATATTTATTGTCTCTGGTAGGTACGATTGATTTTATTTTATAAATAAAAAAATTTTTTTTCTTACAGCTTCAAATTTTATTTTTTTCAAATAATACTTTGGAACAATGTTAGGAACAACTAGAACAACTTGGAACAACTAAAAAAGTATTGAATTTCAAAACATGGGGGGCTACCATAAAAACGTTTTTTTTTGTCTGGCAGCTTCAAATTTGAATATTTTCAAATAATACTTTGGAACAATGTTCGGAACAACTAGAACAACTTGGAACAACTAAAAAAATATTGAATTTCCAAACATGGGGGGCTACCATAAAAACGTTTTTCTTGTCTGGCAGCTTCAAATTTGAATATTTTCAAATAATACTTTGGAACAATGTTCGGAACAACTAGAACAACTTGGAACAACTAAAAAAATATTGAATTTCCAAACATGGGGGGCTACCATAGAAAAACGGTTTTTCTTGTCTGGCAGCTTCAAATTTTAGTTTTTTCAAATAATACTTTGGAACAATGTAGAACAACCCAGAACAACCTAGATAATAATAAAATTCAAAAAGTGGGGGGCTAACTTCACAGAGGTAAACTACTCTTTGGAATGCACGAATGCCACAGATTACTACGAATGCAAACTGCATGCACCACAACCACAGAGTAACGAGTTTGATGCCGGCCCTTCACTTGACAACAGTTTGTCCTTGTCATGCTTAATAAGGAATGAAAAGGACAGACTGATGTCATGTTTTAAAATAGCAAATACAAATAGCCAAGTGAAATGCTGGCATTAGGAAGAAAGAGTGTTTTTTTTTGCAGCGCTGTCATAGATTAAACACATAAAATGGTATTTATTGTCTCAAATTATTTTTTAACTTTTTAATGTAGCTTACTTAACTGGAAGAGTCCGTCACAATCTAAATACTGACAATTATCGCAAAAAATATACTAAGAATTATCATAAATGCCAAATTGGTGTTGGTTCTTAGGTCAATTTTAACATTGTCCTTTGGCATGCAGGTAGATGTTATGACGTAGGCATCCGCTAAGAAAGGGTTTTGATCAATTCTACCCCCAAGGGGATAAAATAGGGAATGAAAGTTTGTATGAAACTTTGTCAATTTTAAACCGACCGAGCTGAGACTTTTTATGCAGGTATAAGAAGAATCATAGATGAATGTCATTGTGTATAATACAAGCCTGAGAACAAAAACTGTAGTCTACACTTCAGCTCTACACCGAAGCGAAGCGAGGGCGGGCCACTAGTATAATATAATTAAGATCATAATTGTGATGAAAATCAAAACTATGACGACGCAGCCTTAAAAGTATGCGAAACGTCGAAAAAAAGGGAGCTCTTTGAACCCGTTTAAGCGTGTTTTATTTGAATTCCATTATCCCAGCATCCACAAAGGGGAGAAAGAGCACGCTTGCCCCACGTGCGGCAAAATGTTCCTGTTCAAGAAGGCGATGGAATTACATCTGGCCACGCACGACGCGCCCGCCTTGCTTTACTGCCATCAGGTAACCATATTTATAAATATAAATATATACTAGCTGACCCAGCGTACTTCGTATTGCTTACAATAATTTGGAAGAAATGATAAACGACGAACGTCAAATGTTTGACAGCAATATACACATAGCCATCTGTCGGATCCAATGTAAAACATTCCAAAAACAACTACTAATAAATTAAAAATTAATTAAAAAAACATTGTCCAGCGGATAAAATTGTGAATCTAAACCATTCTCAGATCCCCTTGAACACACACAAAAAATTTCATCAAAATCGGTCCAGTCGTTTAAGAGAAGTTCAGTGACATACACACTCACATAAGAATCTTTATATATATAATTCTTCTGTGAGTGTGTATGTCACTGAACTTCTCTTAAACGACTGGACCGATTTTGATGAAATTTTTTGTGTGTGTTCAAGGGGATCTGAGAATGGTTTAGATTCACAATTTTGTCCGCTGGACAACCCCTATTTTTTTAGGGCGGTACGAAGTTCGCTGGGTCAGCAAGTTATATATATAAAGATATATACATATAATAAAAGCAAGCAACTTTCGCAGTGGTCGGTCATCGGATGGGTGACCAAAAATTTACTATCTCGAGTTACACCGTGCTTCGGAAGGCACGTTAAGCCGTCGGTCCCGGCTGCATCTGCAGTCGTTAGCACCCACCAATCCGCACTGGGCCCGCGTGGTGGGTCAAGGCCCAATCTCCCTATTCTATCCATAGGGAGGGCCTGTGCCCCAGCAGTGGGGACATTAATAGGCTGATGATGAACTTGGGATGTGATCTACAATCGATACCGAAGCCGAAAATATAATTTTTCGAATTTTGGTCTGTTTGTCTGTATGTATGTCCGGGATAAACTCAAAAAGTACTGTATGGATTTACTTCAAAGGACATTGTTCTGCGTCCATACATAGTTAGCCTAAGAACCAACAATCATGAAATATTATTTTCTAGGTTCGAAATCGCAAGTAAATGACTGTGAAAACAAAGATTATTGACGGACACTTCTGAGAACTTAAATTATTAGGAAAGCTAACAATTTTTTGAGGTTATGTTTAATATTCAATGAAACATAGGTCAACCTATGAACTTAGTATGAAGTGAATTAATATTACAACTAATTCATTTTATTAGGTGTGATTTTAAAGAATAACTATTAGGAAAAACTTGGTTAGGTAGGAATCATGAATAAAATAAAAACTGTAGTTTTGCTGCTTATTATTTATTGACTATTTTTCACATAATTAAATCATATTGTATACTTTATTTATTTGTTTAACACATGGATATTGTGTTAATATGCAGCGTAAATGTGTATCAGGTGCTCTTGAATAATTTGGCAGTATGATCCTCTCAGGATGTTGTGGCACAGGTTCACTAGCACTTGGAAATAGGGTTTCTGCTCTTTGGTAACATCGATGGCATATTAGATAGCCGAAATAGTAATAGTTCATTAAAGGAAAAACAATCGCAAATAAACACACACAACAGGTAATCCGAAACGAGAATTTTCCGTATTTAATATAAAAAGTACCCTTTGACGAGAATGCACGAATGCCACAGATTACTGCGAATGCAAACTGCCTGCACCACAACCACAGAGTATCGAGTTTATGCCGGCCCTTCACTTGACAACAGTTTGTCTTTGTCATGCTTAGTAAGGAATGAAAAGGACTGACTGATGTCATGTTTTTAAATAGCAAATACGAACAGCCAAGTGAAGTGCCGGCATTGGGAAATGGGCATGGGCATTATTGTCTCAGATTATTTATTAACTTTTTAATTTAGCTTACTTAACTGGAAGTGTCCGTCACAATCTAAATACTGATAATTATCGCAAAAAATATACTAAGAATTATCATAGATGCCAAATTGGTGTTGGTTCTTAGGCCAATTTTAACATTGTCCTTTGGCACGAATATTATTAAGAAGTCGGGTCAACATTTAGGCTACATATTATCACGCTATCGCCTACGGGGAACGAGCAGTGAACCTTTATTTCTAACTAACTCCACGCGCACGTAGCGGGCGGCCGCTACTAAATAATAAATAAATAAATATTTCCAACACTCACACCAATTAGCCTAGCCCCAAAGTAAGCACTGTAAGGCTTGTGTTATGGGATACTAGGGTAACGGATACAATACATATACTGATACATATATAAGTATATTTATATAGAAATCAACACCCATGACTGGAGTACAAATGCTCGGATTCTACACACAAACATCTGCCCCACCGGGACTCGAACCTAGGACCTCTCGAGTCAGCGACACCATGAAACTCGGCGTACAAACAAAAAGTATCTGTTCATATTATAATATAAAACAAGCTTTTAAATGATATATTATGTTTCGTCTCTGCCAGAAACCGACCACCATTTTGAAATCAACTCTTTTAATAATGTTTTTATTTTTTAATAAATAAATATATTAATAAATAATAAATCTAAAGAAAAGTTTACAAGAAGAAATTCCACGCGGACCAGGCAGCGGACGGGACTCGAACCCGCACCCTTCGCTATCCGGGCGAATGCACTGACCATTATGCTACCGCGGCCCTGACGGCCGTGTCGAATTTTCTCTAGCCTTCTGCAAGTCAGCGCCATGTGGGTTTGCCTTGCAGCCTAAGGCTAGAGAAAGTTCGACACGGCCGTCAGGGCCGCGGTAGCACAACTCTTTTAAGTTAATTGTTTAATTGTTCGTTTTTTTTGCAGTGCGATATGAATTTCAAGAATCAAATGTCTTATTACCAGCACATGAAATATAACCTGAAACATGTGGACCCAGCCAGGCTCAAGTGAGTTACATATTTATTTATATATATATATTTAAATAAAACTCAAAAGTGACTGACTGACATAGTGATCTATCAACGCACAGCCCAAACCACTGGACGGATCGGGCTGAAATTTGGCATGCAGGTAGATGTTATGACGTAGGCATCCGCTAAGAAAGGATTTTGATCAATTCTACCCCCAAAGGGATAAAATAAGGAATGAAAGTTTGTATGAAACTTTGTCAATTTTAAACAGATCAGGCTGAGACTTTTCAGGCAAGTATAAGAAGAATCATAGATGAATGTCATTTTGTATAATACAAGCCTGAGAACAAAAACTGTAGTCTACACTTCAGCTCTACACCGAAGCGAAGCGAGGGCGGGCCGCTAGTAAGGTATAATGATGCAATCTCTTTAATTAACACTGATATTGACAATGAATTTCGTAATTGTACCTGGAAATTCTATAAAAATACTAGCTGGCCCAGCAAGCTTCATATCGCCATAAAAATATGGGTGGTAGAAGTGAAAAAATTTAGGGTTGTATGTATTTTTGTATGTTATCATAAAAAAAAAACAAAAAAAGTCCATAAAATAATGAAAAGGGGTCCCTTTAACATTTAGGGGAATGAAAAATAAATGTTTCCCGATTCTCAGACCTACTGAATATGCATATAAAGTTTGAATTGAAGACTGTAATTGAGATAGTTGATTAATTTGTGACTTAATTAGATTATGAGTTAATTTCCTGTGATAAAGATTAATCTAGTGATTTGTGTGTTTTATCTGAATATTCCGCCCACGACCATAATTAAAATGAGTGAACAATCTGATGAAGGCCGCAACTCTCCTATATATATGTTTACAGTTATTTTACGTTGTTGATTATTTTATATTGTTGATTTATAATAATATTGACGACATTGTATGAAACAAAGCAAGGAGAAAAATCAGCCCTGAATTTCTTAGTAGCTTACGTTAGCGTAGCTTTCGACTTTCATATGTGGTACCTAATGGCCTACACTAAATATATTAACTTAAACTTATACTATATAATATATATATGTTCGCCGCGGTGTTACCAGCGGTTTATTAGGGATATTTTCCCGCAGTAAAACGTAGCCTATGTGTTAATCCAGGGTGTCAGCTAATTCAATACCAAATTTTATTAAAATCGCAGCCAGCCGTTTAGACGTGAAGAAGTAACAAACATACACACTCACAAACTTTCGCCTTTATAATATTAGAAGGTTAGAAGGATTATTGTTTATTAGTTTATTGTTTAATCAAATTATATTTCTTTTTTATAACTTTGAAAGTACTTTATCGATCACTGTATTAAAATTAAAATTAATTAAGAAAAAATATTCATAATTTTCTAAAATCCCACGAAAAAGATAATAGTTTTCTTATCTATTGTCACGTGACCCAAAACGCTTGGGATTGACGGAGCCTAAAATGACGTCATACGCAAGTAAACTTCCGGTTAAAGTGACATTACATTGTTTCGTTTGACGTTTTAATGACATTCGTGTTACGTCACACACTAGTAAGACTCCATATTGTCCAGATAAACGTTTTCGCGGCAACTTGAAAATGGAGTTTTTGATTTGGTTATTTTTACTGAAATACACAACAGAATGATGAATATCCACTTTTTACGGACTCCATTAACATTAGTCAATAACGTGAGATCGTTTTCTAAAACTTGTCAAATACCCTATTGTGTGGTCGGTTATATCTGATTAGAATAGCAGCACAATTTAATTCAGTTAAGAGAAAAAAATCTTATTTAAAGAAAATTTTTACTAGAAATATTGCACGCAGGCCAGGCAGCAGACGGGACTCGAACCCGCACCCTTCGCTATCCATGCGGATGTACTGACCATTATACTACCGCGGTCCCAAGTAATCATTGGGAGGTAACTCTGGGTTACCTACAATGCGAAGAGATAGCGCTCCCTTGAAGCCTAACAACGCTAGATAAAATTTGACACGGACATTAGGGCCACGGTAGCATAATGGTCAATGCATTCGCCCGGTTAGCGAAGGGTTAGGGTTCGAGTTCCGTCTGCTGCCTGGTCTGCGTGCAATTTTTCTAGTACAATTTTCTTTAGAATTAAAATACATATATTTGATTTTCTTATAATAAGTATATGATATTCCATATCAGGTACACTTGTAACGAATGCGGTAAGAAGTTCATGAAGGCGTCCCGCCTGGCTGAACACAACACCGCTCTGCATCTTAAACTAACGCCCATTAGATGTACACAGGAGGGGTGCAGCTTTGTGAGTTATTATATATTTATACATTATTATATACTAGTGGATGAGCGACTTTGTGAGTAATATACAGACATTATTATATATTAGTGGATGGGCAACTTTGTGAGTGATTTACAGACATTATATACGAGTGGATGGGCGACTTTGTGGGTAATATACAGACATTATTATATATTAGTGGATGGGCAATTTTGTGAGTGATATACATACATTATTATATACTAGTGGATGGGCAACTTTGTGAGTGATATACAGACATAATTATATACTAGTGGATGGGCGACTTTGTGAGTGATATACAGACATTATTATATACTAGTGGATGGGCGACTTTGTGAGTGATATACAGAATATATTTTATAGCAGTGGATGCGCGACTTTGTGAGTTATATACAGAATTTATTTTATAGTAGTGCATATGCTACTTTGTGAGTGATATACAGACATTATTGTATACTAGTGGATGGGTGACTTTGTGAGTGATACACAGATATTATTATATACTAGTGGATGCGCGACTTTGTGAGTGATATACAGAATTTATTTTATAGTAGTGCATATGCGATTTTGTGAGTGATAAACGGACATTATTATATACTAGTGGATGGGCGACTTTGTGAGTGATATACAGACATTATTATATACTAGTGGATGGCCGACTTTGTGAGTGATATACAGACATTATTATATACTAGTGGATGGCCGACTTTGTGAGTGATATACAGACATTGTTATATACTAATGGATGGCCGACTTTGTGAGTGATATACAGACATTATTATATACTAGTGGATGGGCGACTTTGTGGGTAATATACAGACATTATTATATATTAGTGGATGGGCAATTTTGTGAGTGATATACATACATTATTATATACTAGTGGATGGGCAACTTTGTGAGTGATATACAGACATTATTATATACTAGTGGATGGGCGACTTTGTGAGTGATATACAGACATTATTATATAGCAGTGGATGCGCGACTTCGTGAGTTATATACAGAATTTATTTTATAGTAGTGAATTATGCTACTTTGTGAGTGATATACAGACATTATTGTGTACTAGTGGATGGGTGACTTTGTGAGTGATACACAGATATTATTATATACTAGTGGATGCGCGACTTTGTGAGTGATATACAGAATTTATTTTATAGTAGTGCATATGCGATTTTGTGAGTGATATACGGACGTTATTATATACTAGTGGATGGGCGACTTTGTGAGTGATATACAGACATTATTATATACTAGTGTACGGCCAACTTTGTGAGTGATGTACAGACATTGTCATATAGTGGTAAATGAGCGACTTTGTCATAGTCATTTATCCGAATTCCATGATCCATTAAATTGAGCAGGCGGTGGTAACACAAAATCACACCAATTTTATTTCACAATATCCACTATAAACGAATTTAAAAATAATTAAAATAAGACGACAACCGCACTCGATTAAATCCCGCCAAAAACTCTTTTATTTTTATTCATGTGTATGGAATTCGACCTATTGAAACCCTTTTAAATGGTTTCTTACCCTTTTGACTCAAAGGAAGTTATAGTATAGGATTTTATTTTGATTAATTCAATAAACAGCATTGTAAATCCACTTTATTAAATATTATGTGATTTTTTTATCGTATTACTGACATTTTGTTGAATACTCTTACATATTATTTGTGTTTGGATACAGCTATAAGTTGACATTATAAATAAATATGTATATGTACGTAGGCATGCGCGTCGCGTCCCGTACTACGCGCGCATATTCGATCTGCGCACCGTACATCGCCCGTACCACGGAACCACGTGTGCCATCACTGCGGGAAGACTTATACTGTGAGTAGAATATGTTTTATATAATATATGCTGCCTTGCAGCTTAAGAATGGCTACAAGAATTTTGACGAGGTCCGTGAGGGCCGCGGTAGCATAATCGGTCAGTGCATTCGCCTTGATTGCGAAGGGTGCGGGTTCGAGTCCCGTCTGCTGCCTGGTCCGCGTGGAATTTTTTCTAGTTATATTTTCTTTAGATTTAGTAAATTATTGGTCACCCATCCAATGACCGACCACTGCGAAAGTTGCTTAACTTCAACGATCGCAGCCGAACGCGCTAACCACTTGCGCCATCGAGCTCCTCAATAATTCCACTGTCCGTCTATATATCTGTCACTAGGCTGTATATTATTAACAGCTATATATCTAGACAGATGAAATTTTCACAGATTTCTGTTGCTGTTAGGTGTAACAACAAATACTAAAAACAGAATCGTGTTTATTTTCGTTTCATTCTTTATATTAATAATGGCAACGGGGAATTCCCTTGGTAACGGATGCGACACTGACACTGCGTTTTTTCATGATAATATAATGCGATTCAAATAAAAATAGGAAAGCCAATGACCTCTATCTGTCAAATGTCGCTTGAAAAGTACAAAAAAATCTTGAAACCCTTTTTTAGCACTCCGCTAATTCAAGAATAAAAACCAAACATTTGTAAACAATCAATAACAAATATTGATAATTAATATCGGTTGATATTTTTTTTTCACTTATTGAGCTTTGGCCATGAGTGGTTGTTAACCTAAATCGTCAACCAAATGTCACTTTAAGTTGCGTTCAGAAACTCGATTTCAAACTTTCGTTTACATAAAGGATGCATGTTCGTATGTGACCTAGTAATAGTGTATGATTATTCATAACTACTCCGGCGGTAATGCAGAGATGAGCGAAATAGAAGAGCTAGATTCTGATAATGTTTTTTCTGACAGTTTTAATAAATAAATATTATTAAAAATCGGTGGTTCTTTTTTCTCAATCTTAGTAAATAAATGTAATTAAAAATATCTAATGCTTTTTGTCACTTTATCTTAGTAAATAAGTTTTATTAATTAAAAACATTTTGCTCACTCTACTCACATTTGGTTTGAATTGACAGCTATGACATCACAATATGGCGCCCGATCCTTTCTGTCCTTGCGACAGTACCAGCCCTCAAACCTTTGAACACCTACTTTACCTTTGCCCGAGATTCCAGTCCACCAGGACTGATCTTAATATTTTATGCAGTATGCACAATCTAAATATTAAAAACCTCAACGACATAGCTACAAAAACTGACACTAGTGAACTATTTTTAAAGCACCTATTCCACATTATTAAAAACCTCAAAAAATTCAATAACACGTAAACTAAGCCATATCAGAAAAACATAAACTCATATTATTAAAATCATAAAACACACTTAGTAAAACCCTAAATACTAATAACTAATACTATTTACTAAAACACATATATAACGAAAACTGAAATCAAGCTTAATACCAAAGGCGCAGTCCGTAAGCGCCCGCGGTATATTAGCATCTTCTTAAGCTAATCTCATATCAACCTTACCTTACCTTACCTTACCTTACCTTGTGTGAAACACGAATATTTGCTGTCGATACTTCTTTTTTTTTAAGTTGACAGAAGAAGCAATTGTTCGGATGAGGTAAATAGTGCTCTTTTAAAAAATTTAAAAAATCAAAAAACCCGACTGCTTAATTATTCTTCAAATAAAAACTGAAAAGAAAAAAACAAGTCCAGTAGTCTATAATTCTGTTAATAAGGAACAAAGCTACTTTAACAGTCGGGACCCATTAGATATATTCAAGAATACATAATATTTTTCAACAGTGGGTCCCGACTGTTAAAGTAGCTTTGTTCCTTATTAACAGAATTATAGACTACTGGACTTGTTTTTTTCTTTTTAGTTTTTATTTGAAGAATAATTAAGCAGTCGGGTTTTTTGATTTTTTAAATTTACCTTTTTTATTTCACACTTTTTAGTTAGTATTTTAAGACGGTATATACCGTAGTCTTGTTACTTCAGTAAGGGAATTAATATCGCGGGAATTATTAAGTACCTTGCGTCGGTCTAAAAGATTGATTTATAAAGACATATAAAGACTTTACCAGCGGGGTCAAGGCTACAGATGGGCCTCAATTTTCGCAAAATGTGTGAAGTTAAATCAAGTCGTTACCTACGTATATATCTAATATGTGTAAATTTTATAGTAAACTAGCACTTATTCTAAAAAACATCTTTTGTTTATGTTCTTTTTAGTAGTTTAGCAGTAAATATGAAATTAATTTACTTTTATTCGTCGACTATTTAAAATTGGCAGTGGCTGCATTGTCATGTCAATGCCGGACGTCTAAGATTGTGATATACACAAATTCAGTGTCAGTCCCTAGTATCATAATTTGATATACCTACATAATTCACATAAACCCAATATGTAGATGCCAGAAGTTAACTTCAAATGTTTTTAATCACCCAATATTCAATACCAATCAATGACGTTTATGTCGCAGGTTGAAGAAAGAAGTTATTCCCGTCTGTTGTTTTGGACAATGGTGGCAACTGCCTTAGATCACTAAATTAAATAATTATGCAATCACCAAAGCAAAGTTTATAATTTTTGATTATACTAAAGGCGCATAATAAAATTTTCATAACGTTAGGTAGACCACCATAGCAATCTCATTTATTATTAATTTATAGTTCTCTTTGTAGTTTTCTTTTAAAGCGTTCACATTTAACAGGTCAAAGACTTTATGTTCGACCCTTTTATTGGTAGTGTAAAGCTCGAATGAAGAGTACTCCCAGTAGTGCAATCATGGCAATTATATTCCATTTTTTTTTGTTATAAAAATACCGAATAACGTGTCACTGTTAAGCACAAATGCTAAGTAACAAATATAATCAAATAAACCTATTACTTACTTTATTTTTAAATCTTTTTCATCAATTAAATACTTATCTTATCCTAACTATCTATACTAATATTATAAAGAGACAAGATTTGTATGTTTGTAACAAATAATCTGTCAAACTACTGAACCGGTTTCAAATATTAATTCATCATAAGGTAGCTACATTATTTATTATAACATTTTTCTTTATTTAAATACATTTTGTCCGAGTGACATAGGCCATATTTTATCCCGATAAATAAATTTCGCCCGTACAATGCCCGGGTGGATCACTAGTAAGTATAATATAATATTATAGATGCGAAAGTGAGTTTGTTTGTTGCGCTTCCGTGCCCTAATAGCTAAATCGAATATAATGAATTCCCATATAGAAGTAGATAGGGACTTGGTTCTTAGCTACAACATCGCAATACTTATAGGCGTAGGGTGATGAAAGGGGTGAATTCCGTGAATTACCTATAAAAATCTACATTATTTACTTTGAATTTTGCAGAATTATTACAAAACCAATATTATCGCGAGCTGATTAATAAATACAGGGATTCCAATAAGTATGTACTTACTAGCAAAAAATGGGTTATTTGTCATTATATTAAGTAAACCTTTTTTGTAACATTAAGTAATATCGTTAAAAAAGATGAAAAACAGTAAAATTCTGAGTTTTTCATTAAAATTCAATAATCATAAATACCTATTATGATAATATATTTTTCATCATTTAATAAGAAGGAACTGTATCACAGTTTTAATGTTAGTACTTCTTATAGGGTCAGATACCCCATTTTTTTTCTTTTACATAGTACACCGCGCTATCACTTTGTCATCGTTGTAACTTTTTAAATATTTGTCGAAATGACATAGTGTAAAAAGCAAAGTTTATCGTCTTTAAATATCAAAAGCGATTAAAGTATTTGTTTTGATAAAAAATGATTTGTTAATACAAAATGTGCATTTTGGAAATAGATATCAAATAATATTTTAGTTTTGATTCACTATTTTAGCGGTAGTGACTTACACATTAAAAATAGATATATGGTGTCACGGACTTTTTTTTAGAACTATTTAAGAGATATATTTTCACTCTACATTACATTCATGTAACTTTTATTGTTTTTGCAGTGCAGGCCAAAATGGCTCGCAGATGGGACATTTTTTTCCGTCTTATGTGAAATTACATAAATTATTATATATATGTAATTATCATATATAAGCTATATTACTGTTAAGTTTCATTAAAATCCATTCAGTATTTTTTAGGAGAAAGAGTAACAAAGATCCTTAGAAACGTAAGATTGAAATTAAAAGCGTATGTGGTTAATATACAACTTTAAAGCGTTGTAGATCCTAAACAATCATATAAAATGAAAAATGGTGTTAGGAACCTAAATATGATTTTTGATTGTCTAGACATTGATACCCCACTCGACATATTTTGTCAACTTATTTTTTTTACTTCGTCACTATATGGCGCCTAATTTTGTCCATATTGAATTTTGATTACGATCATATCTTTAGTAGCACTCCCATGATTGAGACAAATCGATTGATGTATGAATCATCAAAATCGGTCCAGGCGTTTGGTCTCTAGTGTGCCACAAAGGAACAAACATACATATATAGACTGTTAAACACATAACCCTGTCTGCGCGTCGCGCTTCGCGCTCTTGCATTGCGCAGCCGGGTAAAAAAAGATGGCGCGTAACCAAAAAACGTGACGCGTAACCGAATAAAATGTGACGGTAAATTTTTTTCCAACGCCGATAAAGCAGTTTCACTTCAATTAGATATATTTAACTCAAACAAGATCCGCATAGAAACTTGTAATGAAAAACTTATACAATGCCATGAATCGCGTCCCGGGTGTGACCTTAGAAAATAGCCAAATGCGACCAAGATTGTATTATACACCTGTAAAATTTTCGATGAAAGTATAGAATAAGATTTTTTTATCTAAAACTTTAATATTAATCTCAAATAACTACGTTATTCGAAATGTACAGACATGTATAATGTACTTTATATTTTTTTTTTGAAAATGTAACGGGTATAATAGGCCTTTGCAACGGGTGTAACACTGCAGGGTTTTTCAAGTTTTATCGTTAAATAAAAAGTTCCAATCAACATTGCTTTATTAAAAATCATTCCAGATAAGAAAACACAGGAAATTAACATTTATATAGTTTTGGAAGAGCTAAAATTTATATTTTACAAATTTTTGAGAGTATGATGATTTAGAACTCCAGATATATGCTTTTTAAACAAAAGTAAATTTTAAGTCTGGACCACCCTTTTAGGGGGATGAAAAATAGATGTTGTCCGATTCTCAGACCTACTGAATATGCATATAAAATTTCATGAAAATCGGTCGATTCGGTGTTTTGAAGTAGTTCAATTACTCACACCGTGACACGAGAATTTTATATATTAGATATATTTATATAGATTTGACATGCTGACCGTACGCTTGTACCACTTAATTGTATTTATGATTACAACTACAAGTAAAGACCACGCGCACTCGTATATTGCAACATCTATAACGTATCTTTCTTTGACAGAATAAGAAAACTCTAGAAGGTCATCTCCGTTCCCACACGGGGGAGCGCCCCCACGTGTGCCCCACCTGCGGGGCATGCTTCACCTACCACGCCGCGCTATACAACCACACCAGGCTGGTGCACCACGCGCAGGTAATGTGTGACCCACGCGTGCCCCACCTGCGGGGCATGCTTCACCTACCACGCCGCGCTATACGACCACACCAGGCTGGTGCACCACGCGCAGGTAATGTGTGACCCACGCGTGCCCCACCTGCGGGGCATGCTTCACCTACCACGCCGCGCTATACGACCACACCAGGCTGGTGCACCACGCGCAGGTAATGTGTGACCCACGCGTGCCCCACCTGCGGGGCATGCTTCACCTACCACGCCGCGCTATACAACCACTCGCGTTCTCTCATTCTATGTCTCGTTCTCTATCTCCCTCTTTCTCTCGTTCACTGTCTCTCTCTCTTGTTGTATCTCTCTCGTTCTCGCTTATATTATTAGCCGCGTATTTGTAAGGTTTTACCCCTTTTAGACATGATTAAATACAAAAAAAAAAATGGTTGCCTGTAAAGTCGGTTTTACGGGCGAAGATTTTACGTGACAACGTCTTTTTCTCGGTAGAATATTTATTGATATGAATATAATTAAATTGCACAATAGGAACAAGGAATTGAATGAAAATAAGAATTGCACAAATTTTAACTATAGAAATATATTTTTCATCCCACCACCTCGGAAAGTGTAATTTTGCGCTTCGAAATCTGGCTGGAAAAATCTATTTTATTCGCTTGAGCGGCAAAGTAGATTTGAATTTAGAACATCACATATAATGAGTACTCAATATAATTGTAAATTCAAAACGTCATTAAACCTATTTAATGTAACCTCTATGGTGCCAAATTTATGATTAGAACTTTTTAAATTGTGAAAAAATTTAAATTTGGAACCTTCTTGGTTTCTTTGTTTTATTTGCGTGCTTCGCGCCATTCTAGTTTTTCACGTTTTATTGCTTAAATATTTTGTCATTATAAATTGTTTTCTTTTTCATTTTGTCATTTCCTCGCTGAGGTGGGATGAAAAGTTACGTATTGCACTCGAGTGGAAAGATTTTTCACCTTGTGCTCGTTTGTTTCCCTCGCTGACGCTCAGGATTCTAATTTAGAATCACTCGCTGCGCTCGTGATTCAACTTTAGAATCCTTCGCTTGCTCGGTCATCCAAATCGAGCACGCGGTTAAAAAGGAACTTTCCACTCTTGTATAATAAATAACTATTGTTTACTAAAACATTGTACATGTAAACTTAAACTTAACACGAGAGACTCATCGTAACGTTACCGAGCGTTACACTTTTTCATAAGTGACTCCCAGCCGCAACCTAATTTAAGACGTTGTCACGTCAAAAACTTAATGTTAGTTCCGATTTTCGCCGGGCCCGTTCTCTTTCCGCACAGACTGTATAAACTTTTACATTTATGATATTATTAGTATTGGGAACATAGAACGCTTATACACTATTGCATATCATTAAAAATACAACGTAAATATTAATTTTGGTCAGTGCATTCGCCCGGATAGCGAAGGGTGCGGGTTCGAGTCCCGTCTGCTGTCTGGCCCGCGTGGAATTTAATAATAAATAATAATAATAAATTCATTTATTTGCATCACAAATTAGTACAATTAATAATAAGCAGACATAAATGATTATAAGTTTAACAGTTCTTAAATAACTAGTATGAACTACAATCATTAGTGAGTGACAGTGATGCAAATAGGCAGAAGCTCAGCAGTGTTTTTGCCTTAATAGACAAAATGCTGATTTTCAGCAACTGCCCGTAGGAAGCGCGAGGATGTAGGTACGCTGCAAAGCTGGCATTGTAATTCCCTAGTGCCACACAAACACAATACACGAACATCATTTACTTCATTATTAATTTACCTAGCAATATTTGTTAATAAAATTTTCTAAATAATAATAAATAAATGTATGTAATTAATCATTAAAAAACAAAATTGTGTAGACAATATTAAATAAATGTGTAAGTAATAATATAAAATATAAATTTTAATTTCTTTTGTCAAGAAGATTGAATGCTTACAGAAGAACCTCCACCAAAACGACAATTAGTGCGTATGCCTAAAGTTTGCAAATTCAGTAAGGCTAATTTAATTTGCTTTTTGAAAGTGTACCTTGATATTACGTGTCTTATAGGAGGAGGTAAATCATTCCAACATTTAGTCGCTTGGTCGCGGAAACTACCTGTAAATGCCACTGTCTTATGTTTTTGTGTCGCCAATATCGGACGTATTGATCTGCAAACACCTGGTCCATATCGAGAATGGAAGGTACGAAACTGTAACTTTTTGTAAAGGTATTCCGGGTTCTTAAATTTTAACAGATCAAACATAAATACTGCCAAATGCAGATGCCTGCGTGACTCCATATTCAATAATGAGGCGCTATTAAGAAACGGTGACACGTGGGTTCGAGGAGGGATATTAAAACAAAAGCGACCACAAGCATTTTGAACTCGCTGGATAAGCCTTTGAGTACTAGTAAGCAAACGAGGACCATATACTAGATCCCCATAATTCAGTACCGATAAAACCAGTGACTCACATAAAATGATCCGTGTTTGTTCTGTAAGGAAATTCCGAATTTTATACAAAGTTTTTAACCTATAAAAGCAACTCCTTACAAGACCCAAAACATGTTTCTCAAAACGCAGCTTATTGTCGAACACTATACCCAAGTTCCTGGCTTCGCTTACATGTTCAATGTCTGACCCCAACACTCGAAGCGTAGTATTACAACTAGCGAGTCTTTCAGTCTGTTGTTTCGTGCCAATGATCATAAATTTAGATTTTAAAGGATTCAAGACCAACGCATTATCAGTCGACCATGCAGCTATGGCATCCAGATCGTGATTCACCTTATGCAAGGCATCGTTTATTTTATCTGGGGTTGTTGATATGTATAGCTGAACATCGTCAGCATAACAGTGATACTTACAATGTTTAATCGCCAAGGGGAGATCCGCACTGTAAATAATAAATAAGAGAGGCCCCAGTATGGAACCTTGAGGAACTCCACGATCTATCACCCTAGGTTGAGATGTTAGTACCGATCCATTTTCCTTACGCAATTTAACCGACTGATATCGGTCACTGAGATAGCTGTCAAAGAACCGCAATGCATGAGGATCAAAACCGTAAAATGCCAATTTAGATAAGAGTAACGGTATATTTATACTCTCAAACGCGCGAGAAAAATCAAGAAGCGTCAATATAGTAGCCCGACCCTCATCCATGTCGGTAAGTATGTTGTCGGTTACATCAAGAAGCGACGTCACAGTGCCACGGCCCTTTCGAAAACCTGACTGATATGGTGGTAATATATTATAAGATTCGACAAAGCGCGCAAGCTGATTATAAACTGCTCTTTCTAGAATTTTTGAAAGAAATGGCAATATACTGATTGGCCTAAGATCTTTCAGTTCATCTGGTGGTTCGACTTTAGGCAATGGTGTCACCAATGCCATTTTCCACTGCGAAGGAACAACGCCAGACAGGATTGCTTTATTTACAATATTAGTGATAATAGACAAGGTCCGTGGAAGCGTGAGCAATACCATGTCTCTATTAATTCCATCGCATCCCATTGCATTTGATTTGATGGATAAGATATACTTTGAGACTTCTTCTTCAGAAACACAATTTAATTTGAACAAAGGAGTTGCCTCATTAAATCGATGAAATTCAAAAAAAGTCATTTGGGAAAGAGACACTTTTTCATTGCCAGGAATTTTCAAAAAATGACTATTAATTTCATCAGCATCACCAAAGCAATCAGGAAGGCCGTCACTCTTAATAGGATCGACCAATATATTCCCCTTTAGATTCTTCCAAAAGCGCTTACTATTTGTCACATTAGAATTTATCAAATGATTGAAATAGGCTTGTTTTTCATTATTAATACTTTTTATTACCAAGTTTTTCAAATCTATGTAATACTGTTTATCTACATCCAACTTAGACTTACGGTATCTGTCATGGGCCCTATCCCGCAAACCAATCATAAACTTAATCATATCGGTTATCCAGGGCAAATTTTGATTTGGTTTGACTCTTGTAGATACAATTGGAGCATGCTTATCCATAAGAGACAGCATGAGTGTATTGAATCTGTGAACCATACTATCAACCGTAGGCTGTTCAAAAACAGACTCCCAATCGAGCAAGTCAAGATCATGATTAAATCGCTCGAGATTAATGCGCTTGAGGGGTCTGTAAGTAACAAAACGCGGAGACACTTTGGCCTTTTTTAACAACAGTGAAACACTGACCATTGCGTGACCAAAAGGGGGTGAGATATTAGACACAGTGACATCGCGAATGCTGCAATTTGTGCACACCACATCTAGTAAAGTATCAGAATTTACAGAAAAGTGTGTAGGTTCATTTACCACCTGCTGCAAATCCAAACTGCCCAGGAAATCATTTATTTTAGAGACATTACAATTAGAACGATCCATCATGTTGATGTTAAAGTCGCCCATGAGGACAATATAATCACATTGCGCAAAACTTGAGACCGATTCTGTTAGAGCGTCAATAAAGGTATCAACATTGAGCCAAGGAGGTCTATATGCCGTTCCTATAACAACCTCGAGTCCATTTACCTGAGTGCGCAACCACATTTGCTCAATACCCACATCAGGATGCCTCAGAAAATGTACACGCAAGTCCCGCTTGTAATAAAAAGCAACGCCACCACCCCTTCCTCTACGCATACACTTTGGTCGGGGCACATTACGCAGGCGGTAGCCCGGTACGGCAGGCGCACGCGCCTCCTGACCTGCTTGTAACCAAGTCTCGTTAATGGCAACAATGTCTGCATTAAAACGATTCATTGCTATAAGGAAGTTATCATGATCTGTATTTAGTGAACCTGCATTATAAAGCGCTAATTTTAGAAACTTAGTTTTATTTAACATTTTTACAAATCATAATATATATGTTCATCGATGATAATGAAAAACAGGACCATTCTATAATTACCTTAGAGCAAGTTAAAAGTGAGAATAAATTAAAATGTAGTATAGCATGAACAATATATAAGAGTATTTCATTGGGAGACATAAATTCATGACCTGTAAAATATTCTAGTAAATAAAAAAGAATCAAATAGCATATAATCAAGTACCGAATATCGACATAAATTGCATGTAAATGTAACTTAGAATACTCTTTGCTTTGCACCACCGTGACACTCACTAATATAAAAATAAATTCACAATAAGAAAAACATTTCATTACACATCGCAAAAAAATAATAATGAATGATACAACAGTATATAATTTCATTATAGATAATATTATAGTAAATATAATTAAATATTTATAAGTTAATAATTTTAAATTGCAAAGAAAAAAAACCAAGTAATAGTATTTGAGCTCGTGGTCATTATAAAACTTTGACTGTTGGCAAGAAATATAAGCTGAGCATAATAGCACCATTAACAGACCATGCTTAATATAAGACAATATAATAGAAAGTATGGAATATAAAAAAACATCAATTAAAATCATAATTAAAGCAATCAAGATAAGATTTTCACAAACATTTGTACGAACAACTTTTACGTGTTGATAAAAAGCATATGTGGGATAAATCAATATGGCTAAAATATCATCTCTAAAGAAGCAATAGCAAAATACAGAAATAATTCTTATACATGCAAAATCAACAAGCAAAGCATATTTGACGCTAATATAGTTATAACGAAATAAAACATTAATTAAAAAAATATTGAAAACAGCTGAAATTATTTTTTTTATAAAATAATTTCTACAAATATCTATCAAAAGTGCTAAAATATCACACAATTTTCTATTTATTTTCTCCTATTTATATTTTTTTCTTTAGATTTAAATATTAATTTTATTAAAAATACTTACCTTGTCTAAATAAACCGCCATGATACTTAGTTTTTTTTTAATATTAAAACAAATAAACAAAAAAATTGCACTGTAGTCCATAAATAATACGTTCCCATATAGCTTTTTTACCTTACCTTCACTCTTTTTACCCTGTGTAAATAAATAAATAAAAAAATGGTTGCCTGTAAAGTCGGTTTTACGGGCGAAGATTTTACGTGACAACGTCTTTTTCTCGGTAGAATATTTATTGATATGAATATAATTAAATTGCACAATAGGAACAAGGAATTGAATGAAAATAAGAATTGCACAAATTTTAACTATAGAAATATATTTTGTTTACTAAAACATTGTACATGTAAACTTAAACTCATCGTAACGTTACCGAGCGTTACACTTTTTCATAAGTGACTCCCAGCCGCAACCTAATTTAAGACGTTGTCACGTCAAAAATTACCAACGAATAAACAAGGATAATTTAATTATTCGTGCATTAATTTCTTTATTACAGAATTCACGAAAAGTTCCCGCCAAATCTGTGGACGTTGGCCCCGCGTGGACAGTGGCGCCGCCAGCGCCGCCCGAACAAAACACGGAACTGACTGGATCGTGATGTGATGACGATCAATGCAGTATAAATATGATGTATTTTTGTAAAGATTAAATGGATATTTATTTTTAAATTTATTCTGGGAGTTTTATTTCTTCTTATAATGTATACTTGAAAGTTGGAGCTAAGCTAATGCGAATACTTTTAGGGCGTGCGCTGAGTTAAGCGAAAACGCGGAGTTGTCTCCTCTGTGAGCCCGCTTAGCGCAGCGCAGGCTCTTTGGATTTAAAAATTAAGATTTCATATTTTTAGAGTTCCGTACCTCAAAAGGAAAAAACGGTACCCTTATAGGATCACTTTGTTGTCCGTCCGTCCGTTTGTCGAGACCGTTTTTCTCAGGAACGCGTGGAGGTATCAAACTGAAATTCAAATCTAATACTCATGTCTACTGTCCCTTGGAGTTGTGAAAAAATCAAACTTCTAAGCCGAAGCAATCAAAAGATACAGCCGTTTATCCCGCAAATTTTCGAAACTCGCACTGGAATCAAATCCTACAGGGTACTTCCCCTAAACTTGGAATCTTGATATTTGGTACGAAGTAACGTCTTATAGTACAGATAAAGGAAAAATAGCGAAAACCGTAAATTAGTAATATCATTTAATAAAACATATTTTTGAAAATTTTAAAGTTACTATAATGCGATTCAACTAAGAATAGGACCGACTGGGCGCCATATTGTCCAGTCATATCTGTCAATTCAAACCAAATAGGTAGAGTGAGCAAAAAAGTTTTTAATTACTAAAACTTATTTACTAAGATTGAGAAAAAAACAACCGATTTTTAATAATATTTATTTTACTTATTTATTTATATATTCTGTACACATAAAAAATAATACAGATTATTATTCATTAAGACTGTGTGAGAAAAAACATTACTCAGAATCTAGCTCTGCATTACCGCCGGAGTAGTTATAAATAATCATGCACTATTACTAGGTCACATACGAAAATGCATCCTTTATTTAAAAGAAAAAGTTTTAGATAGAGTTTCTTTCTGAACGCAACTTGAAAGTGATATTTGGTTGACGATTTAGGTTATCAACCATTCATAGCCAAAGCTAAATAAATGAAAAAAAATATCAACCAATATTAATTATCAATATTTGTTATTATTTGTTTACATATGTTTGGTTTTTATTCTAGAATTAGCTGAGTGCTAAGAAAAGGTTCCAAGTTTTTTTGCAAACCGTACTTTTCAAGAGACCTTTGACAGATGGAGGTTTTCATATTCTTATTCGAATCGCACTATACCTCTTATCTCATGAACGCGTAGAGGTATTAAATTGAGTTTGTACGGAACCCTCGGTGCGCGAGTCCGACACGCACTTGACCGGTTTTTTTTTAGTAAGCCATATGTAGGTATTAGACATAACACTTGTAATTGAGTGATAACGTAACTTTATATCATCAACAAACAAGGCTTTTAGAAGATTAGGTATACTATAAATTGCTCAAAATAATTTACACAATATTTCACAATAAAAGATTTTTACTGACATGACAGAAGTAAGCAATCATATGTACATTATTACATTAAAGGCATTAAAGGTAAGGTATTTGTACAACTAGCCAAATCACATGCGAAATAAAAAAATAAGTTTTGTATGCATCGTATGTCACTTTGCCTAAAAAAAAATAAAAGTTAAAACTAAAAAGCAAACTTGACAGCTCAATGTCAACATTAACATAACCTAGAAAAATGCTCCAAAAATGTTTCTAAACAAAGTATTTAAACAGTTGAGGATCGCGTCGACATCCCAAACCATACGGTGTTACTCCCAAGAGTATGCCCCGAAACCGCTGAGGAGTTTGAAGGCTAAATCTAAGAGGGATTCCGTTCAGTATTATGTGGATTCTTGTCGAGTAAGAGTTGTTGCTGGAAACGGTGGTAATGGCTGCATATCGTTCCTCAGTGCCTGGGGGAAGGAACACGCGGGCCCTGACGGCGGTGACGGTGGCCACGGCGGACATGTCATCTTTCAGGTACCTCCAAATTTATGTTGATTACTAACGCCCGCCAGCAACTTTGGTTTTCTGAGAATCCCACGGGATACTAACATTTTTGCAGGATAAAAAGCATCCTTTGACTCAATCCAGGTCATAAACTGTACCTGCGTACCAAGTTTCATCCAAATCTGTTCTGTAGTTTTTGCGTGATTGAGTAACAAACAAACTCGCTTTCACATTTATAATTACCTAGTTAGGGCTACTGCATCTTCTCAGTGCGTGGGGTTGCCAGGTTGTCAAACTTGAAAGCCGGACAGACCAGCCAGTTTGGCCTCACAGGAATTTAGGGCGGATATACTGTACTTCCAGGGCCCAAAAGTAAAAACTTCAGTTTTGTTGGTTGTAATTTCGCATTTTTGTTGTTAAAAAGGTTTCTGTTAACCACATTATTAAAAAAAATGTCACACTTATGCACTGGTAGTTCTTTAGAAAAAAATATTAAAAATTTATCAAGTGGTGATACTTCACACTAGGTTAGGTTAGGTTAGTGTTGTGACCATAACGCGTGAGCTGAGCGAGCAAAGCGAGCGTGCCGCGGCAGCGGCCGGCGAAGCGCCAGAAAAAAAAATCTGTTAAAAAGACCTTTTCTACAAAAAAAAAAAACAAGTATCACCTTTTGGGCCCTGGAAGTACAGTTTTACCTTTAGGGCTCAGTAGTATTAGGTATGACATAAAATTGTATGTAAAAGCGACTGAAAGTAAACCTGCTTGCGCTCAGTGCTCGCTTGTTTGCGAAATGAAAAAGCCTAACAAAAGCTGGATAAGCCTTTTACCTTTTACTTTTGGACAGACACGCAATCAAAAAGCCTAACTATGTCCAGCTTTATCTGGACTACTGGTAACGCTATCAGTGTGTGATTATTCTGCTATAACCCTGTGTAAATGAGACCTGGCATATACCACATCACTATATTAGCATAATTTAAACTTCGTTTACTATTGAAACTTCTAGGCAGGTGTGTACCATCTTAGGCCTCATCATCGCTTTCCATCAGGGGAGATTGTGGTCAAACGCCTTGCCTATTAAGCATAAAAAAATTACTTTTATTGTTACTTGGTACTCAATAACTTGCTTACGGTTTTATTTGAATATTTTATACAACATATATGAAGTTTAGCTAGTCAAAAGGTCACTTGTATCAATAAAAATGGATTCTAAACATCAAATACATTTATTTGTTAATGCTTATATGGTTATGTGTTAAACCACATTACAAAACATAGCATGATGTTAAACCTGATGCCATACCATGAGCACCGCAATTTATATAAAATCACGTTTATTATCACGCCTAACAGTCAAACTCGTTAGTAATTTGACAATTGAGCATGATAAAAACACATTATATAGTGGTGCTCATGCTGGTGGGGCTGGACTAAAACTGATGCTGTCACTTTTATTACTTAAAAAGGATATATACCAAACAACATTAAGTTTAAACCAAGATTAACTTTAGTCCACGTTTTAGTATCTGCTGGCCTTATGCTGTGTTATACAGCTTTTGCTCTTCTGCTGGACTTTAAGCAAATAGAGTGTCTGTTTATTGTGATTTAGGCAAATTGGTCTATCTAAGTTTGTAACCTCAGATAATGATCTTGAAAGCAACATGTTTTTTTTGCCATACATTTATTAACATTTTAGACGCCATTGGGGACAACATGCATATGGGCCTCACGTGTATGTAGTAGCATGTCCCAAGTTAAAATCACTTTTTATTGCTTTAGAAGCTAGAATATACTGTATGAAGTTTGTGACTTTATTTCACCAAAATATACTGCCCTAATAAGTCTCAAAGCAGTACCTTGATCAGTGTAAGCTTCGGAAAAACCCTAAATGTCTTGTGAATTGTTAAAATAGGTGATTTTCTTGAAATTTACTCCGATTGAGTTATAGCTTTTGGGCTTATCAGGGCAGTATATTTTGGCGAAATAAAAGGTAAGTCGCTGGCGCAAGTGGTTAGCGCGTTCGGCTGCGATCGTTCAAGTTAAGCAACTTTTGCAGTGGTGGGTCATTGGATGGGTGACCAAAAAAAATTTACCATCTCGAGCTCCACCGTGCTTCGGAAGGCACGTTAAGCCGTTGGCCCCGGCTACATCTGCAGTCGTTAGCACCCGCCAATTTGCACTGGGCCCGCGCGGTGTGCCATGGCCCAAACTTCCTACTCCATCCATAGGAAAGGCCTGTGCCCCAGCAGTGGGGAGATTAATAGGCTGATGATGATGATGAAAAGGTAAGTATAACTGTCACTCATTAGGTGCCAATGTCCTAAGCAGTAAATAATTTGCATGTCCGTTAGTAAGGGACCACAAGGGGGCAAACTTCACTTACACTTTCTATACTTATTGCATAATATTTCAGGCGACTCACAAAGTGAAGAGTCTGAACCATTGTCGATCGGTGATACAAGCGAAGCACGGGGAGAAGGGATACAATAAGGACTGCTGCGGCAAGAATGCGGATCACATCATTGTGCCTGTACCGCTGGGTGAGTTGACAAAAAACAATATTATGATATTGAGACAGCTGTAACATTAACTAATCCATTCTTTCCTAACCGAAATCAATGTCTATTTTTAACATTTTAATAATATTGAAGTCTAATTTAATGGCAAAGTGCAACAATATAACTTAATTTAAGAAATTAATAAAAAAAATTACATTTGACATGCATTATGCTCAATTACATTTGTTCCTATGCCCGAATATGATTGCCAACGGAATTCGGTTAAACTCCTAAGTGTAAATGTCCGGAGTCCAGTATGCCAGTGTTTGAGTAATTTTCATTTTGTTTACCTGACATCTGCCAGCCTGTATTCTAGTGTAAATATTGCTTCGGGTGTCCGAATTCGAGTAATGTCTTTCGTGCACCCGAAGGCATTGTCCTAATACAACGCGATAACGCGAATGATCGATGCGATCATCGTACGAGTCGACGATCAAACATATTGATCTAGAATAGGTGTCCTAATAGACGAGCGAGCGATGCATTCGCGCGACTAAAATGCTTAAAAATCTATTCGCGGGAACATAGTTCGCGCAGCAGCAGTTACATGCTTTATAAATAATAAAAATTATAACTATTAATTTGATTTGATTTAACTTGATACGATATATATTATAATGAAATGAGGAGCTCGATGGCGCAAGTGGTTAGCGCGTTCGGCTGCGGTCGTTGAAGTTAAGCAACTTTCGCAGTGGTCGGTCATTGGATGGGTGACCAGAAATTTACTATCTCGAGCTCCTCCGTGCTTCGGAAGGCACGTTAAGCCGTTGGTCCCGGCTGCATCTGCAGTCGTTAGCACCCACCAATCCGCACTGGGCCCGCGTGGTGGGTCATGGCCCAATCTCCCTATTCCATCCGTAGGGAAGGCCTGTGCCCCAGCAGTGGGGACATTAATAGGCTGATGATGATGATGATGATGATACGATATGATTTTGATTTGACTATTATGATATGATTATGATGACATGATATGATATAAATTTACATGATTAATTTTTAAAATGGATTGATTTTGTTTAAATTTGGTTGGACCTGATGTGATTTAATATGATCAACAATTAAGTGATATTAATGTATTTAATGTTAAGCTTAAGTTTGTTGCAACACCCCAACGGGGTCATGTACCACTCTCTATTAAGTATGTAAGACCTTATAATAAAAAATGTACATGAGCAATGTGATATAAATAAATAAAGTTATATGAGTTTTAGAATAAATGTTTTTTACCAGTAAAACATATGCGTCCGTTTCGCCTAAAAGTAAAATAAAAGCGAATCGGTAACATTTTCATATGTAACTTTATTCTATGCATAGGTCGATATTATTATTATTATGTATGTCAGGCACCGTGGTGCGCAGTGTGGACGGTAAGGAGATGGCCGACCTGAAGGAGGAGGGGGTGATGTATGTGGCCGCGCGCGGGGGGCAGGGGGGCCGGGGGAACAAGTTCTTCCTCACCGACACACAGCAGGTCAGCCATTCATCTATTTATTGTGATTAAACGACAAAAAAAGGTACATTAGGGGTGATGACGGGGTACAGTAAACGAAATTCTATTTAGTCCGTCAGTTAGATGATCAAAAAATATTGGACACGTATTTTTTCTTTGAGCAATCGACCAAAAAATGACAAAGTTATAGCGCGTCAAAGTTTGGGAGTAGGGGCTCGTGACGTCACTTTTGAGTGAATTTTCACTTATAAGTGTACTCAAGCGTGACGTCATGCGACTTTTCAAATCAATATATCTCTGCAATGTTTATATTATGTGAACAAAAGAAAAAATACGTGTCCAATACTCTTTGATAATCTACCTGATAAACGAAGAAAAACAAAATTAGTCATCATCCCTATTACATAAAATTAAATTATACAGAAGCTGTATGACATACCTCCAGTGAGCTTTTGGCATGGATTTTAATTTATAAATTTAGTAATTTTAACACTGTTTTAGACTGTTATGATCGAAAATTTTGAGATTCAAATTCAACGGGCCCGAAACCTCCGGACTGTAAAAAAATTTAGTTTGAGCAGGTTTTGTTCGCCAGCTCCTCATATATAAAGCGTTTTTGTCATTAATTGTCAAAATACTATTGAGTTCTACAGTTAGACGCCATAAAGAACCTGATATTATGCAAATTGTGGTGGTAATTGGCACGAACTTTGACAGACCCGTAATGACTTCGCATCATAAAAGTTTCTTTTGATTGAAAGTTAAACAGCGCACCTATCAATCAATCAATCAATCAATCAAAAATCATTTATTCAGTCTAGCTAGGCTATTACAAGCACTTGTGAAAGTCGAGAAGCTACGCCATTGGTTCGCAAAACTACAGCGGGAGACCTTGTACTGAGAAGAAACGGCAAGAAACTCAGCAAGAGCTGTTTTTTTTCTCCCTGTATTATATACAGAGTCGTCAAGTTGAAAAATGACTTCAGAGATATTTCTGAAGTCACCTTCCATTACATCATTTAGATTATAGCTTTATCCAATAAGTTTTATAGAAAGCTTTACGTTTGTAGTAGAATATAGGAAGCGGCTTCAGGATACCACATTATTGTTATGAAAAATATCTAATACCATTACATTACAAGAAACACTATGTCCATGCATTACGATCATTTAGTTAGATAATTATCAACTTTATTATAGCCCTTATTCATAAGAGTATTTTTGATCTGAGATTCAAATTTAGTCAGTGGATGCTCAATCTGATCTAGGGGCACTTTCTTAAACAATGCAATACTATATCCCAGAAATGAACCTCTTGATTTTTGGAGTCTGAAACATGGAACGGCAAGCTTGTTTTTGAGTCTCCTGTTAAAGTTAGGTATGGGCTTGACTTTTTTATGCAAATGCGTCATATTTTTTTTTTTACTTAAATATTATATTTTCGTAGATGTATTGTGATGCCAGTTTTAAAATATTAATTTGATTTGATTAAAAAAATTGATGATGGCGACAAGATTACGGATCTGTCGAGGTTCGTGCTTAGCGTAGTTCCAATTACATTTTATGACACATTTACTTACCTATCTCAATATCACACATTTTAAATGATCGTGAAAACAAATCATACAGCTTTAATAACAATAAGAATAATCTTAATAATAATAATGTAGAGAAATTACTTAATAAAATGAAATAAAATTGAAATGTTCAAATAATAATAATAAGATATCCTACCATCAGCCAGTCCCACTGCTGAGGCACAAACTTTCCTATGGATGGAATAGAGATTGGACCATGACCCACCACACAGGCCCAGTGCGGATTGGTGGGTGCTAACGACTGCAGATGCAGCCAGGACCAACGGCTTAACGTGCCTTCCGAAGCACGGAGGAGCTTGAGAGATATAAAATTTTTGGTTACCCAAATAATATAAATACAGTAGAATCCGTTTATTATGACTCCGTCTATATTGACCAACCGCCTATTATGACGTAATTACACAACGAACTTTGGTTTTCATATAAAATTCATTGCAACAATGTCGGATATAATGACTTCGCTTACAGTGACATGTCGCTTATTATGACCCATTTTTAATCAATTTTGTGCGTTTATAGTGACCGACATGGTTCTTTACACCTACGGTAATGTTCGTCGATTCAAATTGAACATCAAGCATTGTTTTTAGTGATATGCTATGTTAAAAAATGTCATCTCAACGTCGTAAAGCATTTACGACTGAGGAAAAAGGTGCAATAATATGCTGATTAGAAAATGGAGGATCAAACTCATCTCACAATCTTTTTTCACAAAAATGCTTTGTATGACGTCCGCTTAGTATGACATGTTTGTCGAATCCCTTTCAAGTCATAATAAACGGATTGTACTGTACTTAAAGCTAGGGTTACCATTTAGAAATTTCAAAGTTGCGACAAAAATCCTGGCTATTCGAAAAAAGTCTGGAGTTTTTGTTCTCTCAGGCTTATCAAGTACGAATTTGGTGAGTTTCATAATAGTATCGTCTCCGTTAAATTTTGTATGGAACAAGCCAGTTGGTCAACATGAACGGTAAGGGCGCTGTCTTGTTTTCATAGAAATTTTGACGATGTGATGCTGTTACAGAATTATCAAAATTCGTGTTATTGAAGTTATACTTCTTTAGGCGCGTTATGAAAAAATGATGAGAGTGAAATTTTAAGATGCGCGCGCATCACTGTAACACAAAATTTTAACAGCATGAAGTTGGTCGCTTTAGCGACCAACTTCATGCGTTACTTTTGTGTTTACCGCACATTAAGAAAATCTACCAACAAAATAGAAATAGAATCTCTATTTAGTGGGTGCTAACGACTGCATTGTGAAGGCCTATCAAAAGTATTTATTAATCTGGAACAACGGAACCAAAGCGCGATTCAGGAGACTACAGCGCCATCTCTTGACCATTGGTGTAGTAGAACCAAAAACCACATCTTTATTTTTTGTAATAAAGTAACAGTTATAGGTATTCATATTTATAATATTTATCCACATGTTTCTAGTTTGTATATTCGGAATACGTGTTTGAGTTTCATACAAGTGCAAATCACATATGTTCTAATAAATTATATTCAGTAGCGATTTTAATTGAATATTTTGAATATTTATTTATTTTTTCAAATTAAAACTGAACTTTATTGACTGTGTCCTTTTCCAGACTTTTTATTAATTTATTAATTATTTGCATGCAATTAAAAACTAATTTTAAACGATGCCAAAGAAGGATAACTTCTCACGCGCCTACATAAGTACACGCACCCATTTTTATTTTATTTTTTTAATCTCGTAGGCAAATAACTCTACCCCATCTGATGTTAAGTGGTGATAAATTCCAAACGCGAAGATAGCTGGTACAGCAGTTATAAACTGCTACACCGACCATCCTCACCTTGCCGGTCTGCACAAATGCTTCTTCACGCCTCTCTTAAAGGACCTTAGATTGTAGGAAGGAGGGAACACGTGCGCGGGCAAAGGATTCCCACTTACGAATAGTACGACAAAGAAATGAGTCACCAAATTTCTTTGTTCGTGTAGGAATTGGGCCTTCGTACCCCTAACATGACCCATTATCGAATTCGAATAGTTTGCGAGTGCGAAATGTCAATGTAAAATTTTGTATGGAAACTTGAACAGCATCGCCACAAAGTTATCGTTACGTAACGGGAACTAAAAATCAGTACATTGTGGCGGCGATATCTATATGCCCCACATATAAGTAACATTAAGGAAATAATCACTCGCCTCCTCAAGAGATGGCGCTACCTACGCTGCGATCAAAATAGTATGGAAGCCCACATCGCGCAAATGAAATTCGGAGGCTAACACTTCATATATACGATGTCCGACCGATGAGTAATGATTTCCTCCATCCGTTGTATACAGAGTGTTACAGAATTCCGAAATAAAATTTGTAGGTATGTACACCGAAATAAAAATTTGTAGGTATCTGAGCGGGGCACCCTAGGACGGTCAGCACGTCGAGTGCTGAACACCGATCAACGGTCCTTTTCAGGACCAGGGTAGGAGCATCACCCCACAGTGATTCTGATCATTGCGATTGGCGGTAGATGCTCAAAAGGCCCTTCTTAGGGCCAAGGGGGGCGGGAGAGGGACGGAGAGAACTACGCTCTCCCTCCCACTCCTGTGAGAGCCGCGGGTATGCCCTGGGGGGGGGGGGGACCTGCATTGCACAAGCTCTCTTGATGCTGGTGCCCCTGATACTCCGGGACACCTTCATCGGGGTGGGTCCGTTCGCGGACAATCACCTTGCGGGTGCGCGGACAGTCGGCAACGGTTGCCGCGACCACACCCGCACTCCCGGCGTGCTGCGGGGGGACTGCGGTCCTCAGAATGTACGCCGGGTGACCACCGCAGGAGTATTGTCTGGTTTTTAGTGGCCCTGTTCAGGGCGTTAGGTAGGGCCCTGCTCATTTCACCCGGCCTAAGGGCTGGCTGAAATGAGCAGGGAGGACTCCCACATACCTTCTTCTCGCTCCCCCGGTGGTTGAAGGATGCGTAAAGCATTTCCCAGACAAAAAAAAAAAAAAAAAAAAAGGTATCTGAGCGGGGCGCTGGGGGAGAGAGGAGGGTCTGTTTAGGTAGTAGTAATCGTACGCATTTAAGGGCAGGTGCAAAACGATATTTTTATTAATTTAATTAGAAAATAAAAGTGGTCTGAAAGGCGTCAAACTTTCGTAGGTAACATTCTATACAAGGAACACAACCAAACCCTAAAGTTTTATTTCGGACTTTTGTCACACCCTGTATATGTGGGGCATATAGATGTCGTCGCCACAGATCTGTTCGCGAGTGGTTATCAAGACATTTGGATGGTAGGCGCCACAGAACACAGAAAGAGGTTAGAACTGTGATCATTATACCGTTTGTACGGAAACCGATGTCGCCAGCTCGCCCCCACTACACTTAAATAATATTATTAGGCGTTGTAAGAAGCTGGTGTCCGAAATAGGCGTTAACTTGTACTACGGATCACCAGGTCCTTACCCCTGGCAAGTAATCTCTATACATTATTCTTCATAACCATAATGACCCTATATTTCCTAATATTTATTCATGGTAAATACAAAAAAGAACAAGAATTAAAGGTTGAGAGATAAAAAACAAAACTTAATCTTTATAAATGCATGGTAGTTAATTATTATTATTTTTTTATAAGCAAAAATTTGGTCACATATCAGAATTTATTTTAGATGGCTTAGTAGATTTTCTGTGTCTGAATAGCTTAATGCCTGAAATATAGCGAATCAAACGACGCGACATCAAACAATCGAACCAATCAGCGCTCATTCCCGAGAGCAACGGTGCAATCAGAACCAAGTTTTGATCAAGTTATGAGCATTTGCTCACACATAACTGCCCTTCTAACCTCTTTCGGTGTTCTGTGGTAGGCGCCGAGTGTAGCGGAGATAGGTGCGACGGGGGAGAGCACCTCGTATACGTTGACGGTGCTGGGCATGGCCGCCGTGGGGCTGGTGGGGTTTCCCAACGCTGGGAAGAGTACCCTGCTGCGCGCCGTCACCCGGGCCAGGCCTAATGTGGCGCCCTATCCCTTCACTACGCTGCATCCGCATATAGGTCAGTTCTATATACCATTACCAACTTTCTGAAGTGAAACTCCTCCTAGGGAAGCCGTTCCTAAGGTAAACCTGCAGCTAACACGTAAGTTAATCAGACTACCTAGACAAGCCCTGAAACAAATCGTGGGTATACTCACGGGTCACGGCTACTTCGACAAACACTTTCATAATATAGGTATTTCTGACCGCCCTCTGTGCAGAGCCTGCCTGGAGGAGGAGGAGACCAGCGCTAGGTCGCTGTCCCTAGGGATGTCGAAAGTTGAAAAAAATATCGATATATCGATATTTTAAAAAATATCAATATCGGCTTCGATATATCGCGAAAAAAACATCGATATATCGGACCAATTTTCCCAAAAATATAGTACAGTAGCTCACGAAATATGACACGCGGAATAATAATGGAACGAAAATTATCTCCCTAAAAATAGACCCTATTTTCGAATGATGACATAGACAATACTAAATACAGCACAGATCATAGATATGTTGAATATCATTAATCTGAGATCCAGTTACGATTTTTCCAGATACGAATTTAGTTAGATCGTGATATGCCGCTAATAATTAAAAAAATATCGTTTTTGATACGAATTTCGATATTGGTTATTTTGTATCGATGTATCGATATATCGAATCAAAATATATCGGCAAAAAATATCGATATATCGATATATTTTCAACAAGCCTAACCAGCGCCCATGTTCTGCTGGAGTGCAGAAGCGTTGTGAGACAAAGGACTTCTCTAATGGAAAGTCCGCGGACACTAGTATAAGCCTGCAGCAACATCCGGGGACTGCTAAGCTTTCTGGAGGAGCTGGGATGGCAGGACTGATGCCAATCCCCACGCAAAATAGGCACTGGGTGTCGAGTTGCGGAAACAGCCCGCCGTACTACTAAGACTAAGACTGAGGCACGCTTGACTTGGGGAGTAAACTGGCGAATGTGTTACGATTTTTGCGTTACGCGTTACGCGCGTGACTCATCGGTAAATAATAAACAATATCCGTCACAAAATACATGAATCTAGTGCTTTGTGGGTGATAACGGACCCAACACAGATTGGTGGGTGATAACGGACCCAGCACGGATTGAAGGGTAATAATGGATCCAGTGCGGATTAGAGAGTGATAATGGACCCAGCGCGGATTGAAAGGTAATAATGGTTCCAGTGCGGATTAGAGAGTGGTACTGGACCCAGCGCGGATTGAAGAGTAATAATGGACCCAGCGCGGATTGGAGTGTGATAATAATAATAATAAATAATAAACGTTTATTTCTTTTAAATTGTTATACATTTAGTTTTCACATTAGTAGTGTTGTAATATTAACAATAGGTATAAGGTTGAAGCGTTGATATCTGCACTAGTTTTAAAAACTGTTATACTGATAACGGACTCAGTGTGAATTGGTAGTTATTTTTCTATTAACAAATCTTTAGATTAAGTTTATGATTTTCAGATCATTGGAGCTAAAGAAGTTTCACTTCGGATGTGTGGTCAGTGCACACAAATTTTCTGCTTTAATTCTTTATTTGCCCGATATCATTTTACAATGCGACTAAAATTAATTAATAAATCCATTTCGAATCATCTTACATTTTTCTCGAAAAATGAGTGAATGCAGTGAGTGTAAGAAATGTTTATTAATATGATTAACTTTGGATATGATTACACACGACAGGCATGGTCCCGTACGATGACTACGAGCAAGTGGCGATAGCGGACTTGCCGGGTTTGATTCCCGGTTCGCACAAGAACTACGGGTTGGGTGAGAACATTTTACATAAATTTCTTATGTCTAGCTAATGAAAATATGCTATATCTAAAGAAAATATTACTAGAAAAAATTGCACGCAGACCAGGCAGCGGACGGGACTCGAACCCCCGCCCTTCGCTATCCGAGCGAATGCACTGACCATTGTGCTACCGCGGCCCTGACGGCCGTGTCGAATTCTCTCTATCCTTAAGCTGCAAGGCAGCGAAATCTCTTCGCATTGTAGGTAACCCACGATGTCAAATGGAATACCTTCACAAGTATTTAACATTTTAAAGAAGAAATAGCAATTATAGTTATATAAAATACTAGCGGACCCGACAGACGTTGTCCTGTCTACACGTCTTTGTGAATCTAAACCATTCTCAGATCCCCTTGAACACACACAAAAAATTTCATCAAAATCGGTCCAGTCGTTTAAGAGAAGTTCAGTGACATACACACTCACAGAAGAATTATATATATAAAGATAACTAGAAAAAAATCCACGCGGACCAGGCAGCGGACGGGACTCGAACCCGCACCCTTCGCTATCCGGGCGGGTGCATTTAGAAATACTAGCAAGAATTAGACACGGCCATCAAGGCCGCGGTAACAATGGTCAGTTCATCCGCCCGGATAGTGGAGGATGCGGGTTCGAGTCCCGTCTGCTGCCTGGCCGGTGTGGAATTTTTTCTAGTAAAAAAATATCTTCAGATTCATATTATCTTCTCTCAGGTATCCAATTCCTCCAGCACGTGGAGCGTTGCAAAGGCCTAGTGTTCGTTCTGGACGGAACCAACGACCCCGACCACCAATACTCTATCCTCGAACACGAGGTCACCCAATACAGCTCAGCATTAGCTCGCAGACCACGCGCCATAGTCGTCAACAAGGTAGACTTGCCCGAAGCGAGACAGAACTACGAGAAAATGAGACAGAAGATGGAAGTCATAGGAGTTTCAGCTAAGACTGGACACAATTTGATAGAACTTTTAATGGTTATCAGGGATATATATGACAGAGATTTAGGTGATAGTGTTGTGATTAAATAATTTAATTATAGGTAAAGTATTTTTGTATTGTTTATTATTTTTTTAGTGTCGAAGCAGGTGTGACGTCTGTTGTACATAGTTTATGATAATTAAACGACTTATAAGTTTTATAAATGTTTGCTTTTAAAATTTCTATAAACTATCACAAATTGCTCTTACACGTAAATCGAAGAAATACGCGTTCAGCATCGTTCCCACACTCAAATGACATTCTCACGCTCCCAGTAAAATTCCCACCCTCTGAATTATAATCCCAGGATGTCAGCTACATTCCCACGCTCTAAATTATAATCCCAGGATGTCAGCTACATTCCCACGCTCTAAATTATAATTCCCTCGATGTCAGCTACATTCCCACACTCAAAATTATAATTCCCTCGATGTGAGCTACATTCCCACGCTCTAAATTATAATTCCCTCGATGTCAGCTACATTCCCACGCTCTAAATTATAATTCCCTCGATGTCAGCTACATTCCCACGCAGCTACATTCCCACGCTCTAAATTATAATTCCCTCGATGTCAGCTACATTCCCACTCTCTAAATTATAATTCCAGGATGTCAGCTACATTCCCACGCAGCTACATTCCCACGCTTTAAATTATAATCCCAGGATGTCAGCTACATTCTCACGCTCTAAATTATAATCCCAGGATGTCAGCTACATTCCCACGCTCTAAATTATAATTCCCTCCATGTCAGCGACATTCCCACGCTCTAAATTATAATCCCCTAGATGTCAGCTACATTCCCACGCTCTAAATTATAATTCCCTCGATGTCAGCTACATTCCCACGCTCTAAATTATAATTCCCTCGATGTCAGCTACATTCCCACGCAGCTACATTCCCACGCTCTAAATTATAATTCCCTCGATGTCAGCTACATTCCCACGCTCTAAATTATAATCGCAGGATGTGAGCTACATTCCCACGCTCTAAATTATAATCCCAGGATGTCAGCTACATTCCCACGCTCTAAATTATAATTCCCTCGATGTCAGCTACATTCCCACGCTCTAAATTATAATCCCAGGATGTCAGCTACATTCCCACGCTCTAAATTATAATCCCAGGATGTCAGCTACATTCCCACGCTGTAAATTATAATTCCCTCGATGTCAGCTACATTCCCACGCAGCTACATTCCCACGCTCTAAATTATAATTCCCTCCATGTCAGCTACATTCCCACGCTCTAAATTATAATTCCCTCGATGTCAGCTACATTCCCACGCTCTAAATTATAATTCCCTCCATGTCAGCTACATTCCCACGCTCTAAATTATAATCCCCTAGATGTCAGCTACATTCCCACGCTCTAAATTATAATTCCCTCGATGCCAGCTATATTCTCACGCTCTAAATTATAATTCCCTCGATGTCAGCTACATTCCCACGCTCTAACTTATAATTCCCTCGATGTCAGCTACATTCCCACGCAGCTACATTCCCACGCTCTAAATTATAATCCCAGGATGTCAGCAACATTCCCACGCTCTAAATTATAATCCCAGGATGTCAGCAACATTCTCACGCTCTAAATTATAATTCCCTCGATGTCAGCTACATTCCCACGCAGCTACATTCCCACGCAGCTACATTCCCACGCTCTAAATAATAATTCCCTCGATGTCAGCTACATTCCCACGCAGCTACATTCCCACGCTCTAAATTATAATCCCAGGATGTCAGCTACATTCTCACGCTCTAAATTATAATTCCCTCGATGTCAGCTACATTCCCACGCTCTAAATTATAATTCCCTCGATGTCAGCTACATTCCCACGCAGCTGCATTCCCACGCTCTAAATTATAATCCCAGGATGTCAGCTACATTCTCACGCTCTAAATTATAATCCCAGGATGTCAGCTACATTCCCACGCTCTAAATTATAATTCCCTCCATGTCAGCGACATTCCCACGCTCTAAATTATAATCCCCTCGATGTCAGCTACATTCCGACGCTCTAAATTATAATTCCCTCCATGACAGCTACATTCCCACGCTCTAAATTATAATCCCAGGATGTCAGCTACATTCCCACGCTCTAAATTATAATCTCTCGATGTCAGCTACATTCCCACGCTCTTAATTATAATCCCTCGATGTCAGCTATATCCCCACGCTCTAAATTATAATCCCTCGATGTCAGCTACATTCCCACGCTCTAAATTATAATCCCTCGATGTCAGCTACATTCCCACGCTCTAAATTATAATTCCCTCGATGTCAGCTACATTCCCACGCTCTCAATTATAATTCCCTCAATGTGAGCTACATTCCCACGCAGCTACATTCCCACGCTCTAAATTATAATTCCCTCGATGTCAGCTATATCCCCACGCTCTAAATTATAATCCCTCGATGTCAGCTACATTCCCACGCTCTAAATTATAATCCCTCGATGTCAGCTACATTCCCACGCTCTAAATTATAATTCCCTCGATGTCAGCTACATTCCCACGCTTTCAATTATAATTCCCTCAATGTGAGCTACATTCCCACGCAGCTACATTCCCACGCTCTAAATTATAATCCCAGGATGTCAGCTACATTCCCACGCTCTAAATTATAATTCCCTCGATGTCAGCTACATTCCCACGCTCTAAATTATAATTCCCTCGATGTCAGCTACATTCCCACGCTCTAAATTATAATCCCCTAGATGTCAGCTACATTTCCACGCTCTAAATTATAATTCCCTCGATGTCAGCTACATTCCCACGCAACTACATTCCCACGCTCTAAATTATAATCCCAGGATGTCAGCTACATTCCCACGCTCTAAATTATAATTCCCTCGATGTCAGCTACATTCCCACGCTCTAAATTATAATTCCCTCGATGTCAGCTACATTCCCATGCAGCTACATTCCCACGCTCTAAATTATAATCCCAGGATGTCAGCTACATTCCCACGCAGCTACATTCCCACGCAGCTACATTCCCACGCAGCTACATTCCCACGCTCTAAATTATAATTCCCTCGATGTCAGCTACATTCCTACGCTCTAAATTATAATTCCCTCGATGTCAGCTACATTCCCACTCTCTAAATTATAATCCCAGGATGTCAGCTACATTCCCACGCTTTAAATTATAATCCCAGGATGTCAGCTACATTCTCACGCTCTAAATTATAATCCCAGGATGTCAGCTACATTCCCACGCTCTAAATTATAATTCCCTCCATGTCAGCGAAATTCCCACGCTCTAAATTATAATCCCCTAGATGTCAGCTACATTCCCACGCTCTAAATTATAATTCCCTCGATGTCAGCTACATTCCCACGCTCTAAATTATAATTCCCTCGATGTCAGCTACATTCCCACGCAGCTACATTCCCACGCTCTAAATTATAATTCCCTTGATGTCAGCTACATTCCCACGCTCTAAATTATAATCGCAGGATGTCAGCTACATTCCCACGCTCTAAATTATAATCCCAGGATGTCAGCTACATTCCCACGCTCTAAATTATAATTCCCTCGATGTCAGCTACATTCCCACGCTCTAAATTATAATCCCAGGATGTCAGCTACATTCCCACGCTCTAAATTATAATCCCAGGATGTCAGCTACATTCCCACGCTGTAAATTATAATTCCCTCGATGTCAGCTACATTCCCACGCAGCTACATTCCCACGCTCTAAATTATAATTCCCTCCATGTCAGCTACATTCCCACGCTCTAAATTATAATTCCCTCGATGTCAGCTACATTCCCACGCTCTAAATTATAATTCCCTCCATGTCAGCTACATTCCCACGCTCTAAATTATAATCCCCTAGATGTCAGCTACATTCCCACACTCTAAATTATAATTCCCTCGATGCCAGCTATATTCTCACGCTCTAAATTATAATTCCCTCGATGTCAGCTACATTCCCACGCTCTAAATTATAATTCCCTCGATGTCAGCTACATTCCCACGCAGCTACATTCCCACGCTCTAAATTATAATCCCAGGATGTCAGCAACATTCCCACGCTCTAAATTATAATCCCAGGATGTCAGCAACATTCTCACGCTCTAAATTATAATTCCCTCGATGTCAGCTACATTCCCACGCTCTAAATTATAATTCCCTCGATGTCAGCTACATTCCCACGCAGCTACATTCCCACGCTCTAAATTATAATCCCAGGATGTCAGCTACATTCTCACGCTCTAAATTATAATTCCCTCGATGTCAGCTACATTCCCACGCAGCTGCATTCCCACGCTCTAAATTATAATCCCAGGATGTCAGCTACATTCTCACGCTCTAAATTATAATCCCAGGATGTCAGCTACATTCCCACGCTCTAAATTATAATTCCCTCCATGTCAGCGACATTCCCACGCTCTAAATTATAATCCCCTCGATGTCAGCTACATTCCCACGCTCTAAATTATAATTCCCTCCATGACAGCTACATTCCCACGCAGCTACATTCCCACGCTCTAAATTATAATCCCAGGATGTCAGCTACATTCCCACGCTCTAAATTATAATTCCCTCGATGTCAGCTACATTCCCACGCTCTAATTTATAATTCCCTCGATGTCAGCTACATTCCCACGCTCTAAATTATAATTCCCTCGATGTCAGCTACATTCCCACGCAGCTACATTCCCACGCTCTAAATTATAATCCCCTAGATGTCAGCTACATTTCCACGCTCTAAATTATAATTCCCTCGATGTCAGCTACATTCCCACGCAGCTGCATTCCCACGCTCTAAATTATAATCCCAGGATGTCAGCTACATTCTCACGCTCTAAATTATAATCCCAGGATGTCAGCTACATTCCCACGCTCTAAATTATAATTCCCTCCATGTCAGCGACATT